TGGCAGGTGATTGTCGCGCATTACCTTGTTGCCCTTAGAGTCCCATCAGGCCTCAACTCCTGCACTTGCTCTAAGAACCTTCATTTACCGGAGGAATTGAAGAATGACCATAATCCAAATTCCCAAATGACTTGTCAATTTCATATTATTACCTGATTCTTAATGTTACCTTATTCCTAATATTACCTGATTATTAATGTTACCTAAATCTTACCATTACCTAATGTATTACCTAGCTCGAACTATTACCTAAAATGTCATTTACCGAGTAGCTATTGCCTTGAATATCCAAATTGCTACTATAACATTTTACCAACTAGCTACAGTGCTTTAGCTCTTTATTACCTTACCTTAATAACTTTACCTTACCTGCTAGCACTGAGCTCATTACCTAATATTACCTCGAGTAAAATTTTCACGCGCAGATATTAAACGGTTACCATTATCCCATGTACCTGTGTCATTACCTAGGAATATTTCTGATACCAATTATGTTTAATATCCGGCTTTAAAATTCTTACCGATTCAAGTTGTTTGCGTCTCTCATAATTTTGTTATTTGACAGTTTCACTTCATCCTCCTTTTCGGAACCGCGGGTGGCGGATGGTCGGGGAGAGCGCCACCGACGGGCTTAACCCGTTGTCTTCTCCGACCGCCAGTTTCGCAACAGTTTCATTCATCCGGATAAATAAAATATTCTTTGAATTGAAGCTTAATTTATCCCCCACTCGCCATAGTTTTCGAAAGAAGTTCCTAGATCAGCCTATTTCAATTGATTTCCATTGTTGCTAATTATTATTATCACTGTCTAAAGACCTGTTTCCAGGCCAGTACCTAATCTTAACCCTTTTGTGCAGTTTCTTACGTCACCCCTATGGAATAAAGCGGAGAAAAATTACTGGACTATTCATTTTTTTCCCGTTGAGCCACACGTCTGTGTTAAACAGCGTCATATGCAAGAATAACGGGCGCAGACGAGCTGCTCGGAGAGCAGTTCATAAATACCCTATATCCACAGCGCCTGGCGCACACCTGTGACCTGTGTTCAGCGATTGAGAAAATCTTCTTGCTATGGAGCCGGGCGCATGGTGTAATAAGTTGCATGAAGTTGCAAGATGGCGGTTCAACTTTCGGCTGGCTCTATTGCAGTGAGTTATACTTACCGTAGCTCAATAACCGCTATTCACTTAAAAATAATTCTGTTATGTAATTACAATATTTCTGTTTGATAAGACTCGATGATCATTGTTTCGCAAAAATTAGTCCTCAGACGCTACGTCGCTACTTAGAGTAAACACTAATTCACATGCTCTTATATGCCTGTTGCTATTTGAAAAAGTACATCATGTATAAGAAGTACGCCTATTATATAGGAGTATTAAAAATAATTAGTTTGCCGATAATTTGATAAAAGATGACCAGGAAACAGCAATTACTTGTCTAAATCGTGAACTATGTGAATGCCACTTTCACTATGATTGAATCGATACTTCCTACCAGGCTACCCCTACCACTAATGATATTATGCTTACTATGCTACTAACTGATCAAACTGAGTACGAAGTAGTAGGTACTAACTTCACTCCCCAAAGATATGTTGCTGACCATCAAATATGATCTTTTTTTTTGACACAACTGGGGGCTCAACTTTCTAGCGCAATTGAAGAAGCTTCTTATGTGGCGATCGAACCCTACAAATCATAGTTCTAACTTCTTAACAGTGTTTTAAGGTTTTTATTTACTGAATGGCGAGATATGTGCTGTAGCTATTGTGACTCATACACTCGGGTTTAAATGGCAAAACAGAGAGCTTTTTAGACTCTCCTTCAAGTTCAATTTTAAGTCTTATAAGTAGACCAGCAAAGTATCATGGATACCAGCATCATCATACATAAGATATTGGTTTAAATCTTAAGTAAATGAGAAAATGATAAATGAACTAATTCTAAAACATCACTGGTTTGCCACTAGACTATGACATGCACTCATGCAGTATGAGTGAGAACTCACAAGAGCTAGTGCCAGACTGCCAGTAGTGGCAGAGGAGAACGTTTTTTGTTGCCCTTCAAGTTCTTCTAGTTCATTTTTAAATCCAATAAGTAGACTTGGATACCAGCTTTAACATGCATAAGAAATTGATCTAAATCTTGAGTAGATGATGAAATTAAAATTAATTGATCTTAAAGAAATTTCTGGATTGTCAGAGATTGCCTGTGCCCTGACTCCTGACTGCCCACTTATGGTTATGTGTCAAGCGACATTGATGGTAGTAACATTTATGATTTGTAGTGATCAAATTTTTCTATGGTAGTTGACTAATTCAGTAATTAAACATAAGCATTTAAAGTTGTGGTTTAATTAATTCAATTTTCATGCTCTCAAGATTCATTTTTTGCATTATGTTGAAAGAGATTGGGAAAGAAATTTTTTTAATAATTTAGAATAGTATCTATAAAATAGAAAAATATAGAAAATAAGTTATGCATCTTCGATCCAATATGCTGTTTCAAATTCAATGTAGTATCACTTGCCTAATGACATCCTTTAAGTATTAGAATTGCTAAATTTAAAGCAATTTATGGTTATAAAAATGTACAAGAACATAAATGATATATTGAATTCCTTAGTGGAGAGTCGGGCAGAAGCCTCCTGTGCATTGCACAAAAATGCCTATGAATTGGGCCATTTTCACCCATTCCATTTGCCATTCCAATTTCTTCAGTGAAAAATAATTATAAATGGTCTATTTTTGCCTGCAATTTTTAACCTTTTTTGCGGGCAAGCATTGAAATATCCAGAAATTAGGTAAAATTTCAAAAACCAGTAAAATGAAGTATACTAAGTAGTATATATTATAATTATACGAAACATTTATTTTTATGTATTTTTAAAGTTTTTGCGTATTGTAAATTTGAATTGCACTTGAAGAATTTATTATATGTGGTCACTACACGAAATTTTTCTTTGTAATTAAAATTTGGGTTATGCAGATGAAAAAATTAATATCATCTTCCAAGTTGAAACTTTCATTTAAATGCTCATATTTTAATTTTGGTGCTGCTATGCATGGAACGATGGTCAGATAATTAGTGATTGACTGAGGCATGATAAGGAAATCTCAAACACAAACCCAAAGCTGTGGTGGGTCTCTTTGTGAGGCAATTTCAAGTGATCATATATGGTAACTTGCCTGTGAAAGGGTTGATAATTACCCATGAAACTTGATTTTGCCTGCAATTTTACAAAAATTCTGCCTGATATTCCCAATTAAATTGAATTTACATTATTTGGGATTCTTTTGTATGACAAAATTTATATCATTTTTGATGGTCAGTAACAATTTGCCACTGTTTTGGTATTTATTGTATTCCGTCAAACGGGGTAATAAGGGACGGGTGGGGTAAATTGGGACGTGCATCCCACCTTTCGTAGAAATGTTGTAGGTAGCAGCTAAACTAATCAAAATATTGCAAAACTAAAAATAGTGGCATAAACTTCAACATTTTTACTATCATGTATAAAGCTAGTTAAGAAATCATACATTTACTATCTATAAAAATCACGGGAAAAGAGTGTGAAAAACGTGATTTTGTAAAAGCACCTCTACTAAGGTCTGGAGCAAAAAAAAAAATATTTGCCATAATAAAAATTTTACTTACATAAAAATTGCAACCAGGTGTTGGCTTGAAAACGCTATTGATGGAATTTGCCTATCTCATTAAAAAAACGGCAGCCATTTCCGCGTGACAGGGTAATAAGAGACACCCCCCTGGGGTAATAATGGACACCCTCAAAAATGCATTTACAGTTTAACCTCAGTTAGCAAAGGCTCCAGTTAACAAAAAAATTGATCAATTACAAAGAATTTTGGTTACATTTACCTCGCTCAGCAAAAAATTAACTTATCAAAAAATTAATGCATCATTGGTCATCCCAAAATTGTGCTTAGAATGTCATATATAGAATTGTGCACTGGCATCATAGAATGAAGAGTATGGAATTAACCTAAACTATGATTTATTTCTCCAAAACATATGATAGTTGTTACTAAAACATTCCTTTCTGTTTCAGGTACGTTTTTTTATGATTTTTTTTACAGTGAATTCACTTAACCCAATTAAAATGGTGTGAAATTACAAGCCGTCCTGTAAGCTTACTGATACAGAATAAATGCTATGGCTGCTGATATGAAGCTTGCAGTGGACAAGGTCGTTGTAAATGCTCAATGACATGTTTATGGATATGTTAATATCACATCAATAATACAGTAATGAATGAATTTGGTGATATCATATCAATAAGGGATAAACAAGTAAAAAACACTGAAAATGTCATTTATTCTGCATCTACATCATCTACAATGAAAGAGGAGGACTTCTAGAGTACTGTTAGTAATGGATGAGTACGCTCTGCAATTTGCATGCTTCAAACATTTTTAAATCGAGTTTTATTTCAAGTGTCTCAGATTACCCCATTCCCAGGGGTAATTCGGGACGGTTTTATTTTGCGTATGACACCTTACGAATAGCATATGGCATTTTTTTGAAAATGCCATTTGATAGCCCTTGCAAAGAGCTATAAAATGAGCTTAAGCTTGTTTGTGAAATGTTTCATGGTAGGAAATTATTAACAAAAAATGCTCAAAACCGTCCCTTATCACCCTGTTTGACGGTTCTAATTAAATTATTTTTTTTTGGTATAATTCCTATGTATGTATTTTTTTACAACACTTCTCTTTAACTTCACTTCTTGTTGTTTGTTTGTGTGCTACAAATCTTTTCATCTATATTTAACACACTTCTACCTATCCAATCGATCTGAAATTTTGCACACTTGTGTAAAGTTGGAGACAATGCATGAATCAACTGCCAGAATAAATAATTTTAAAAATTAAAAAATTTTCATGTATAAAAAATTTAAAATTATTTGTTTTGATATTTGAAAACAAAATTAGAAATTTATTGTACATGTGGAACAGTGGAGACACTGGATTTTTTCGAAGTGTTGTCTTTGAAAAATAATTTTTAAACGCATATATATTATATTTCAGGCTATCAACAATGGAGAGAAGCTGGAGGATGTCATTCTCCAAGTTATGGTAAGATAGCAACTAATTTATTTGGACACAAGGGAAATATACCAGTGATTGCAATTTACTGGATTTATTGATCAATGAGTTACGAAATGTGACATGCTTTAATGAATAATTTGATTCCCCGTGTCAGTCATTTAATGGGTAATTATTTTGGTGTAATGGATACATTAGATATGAATTATAATTAAATTCGCATGCATAATACATTCTCATTTAATAAACTCTGCATCAATCAATATTAAAAATCTGAGTTAGAAATTTTCAGAAAACCAATATTATCTTTTTAATAATTTTGCATAGTATATTATAGAATTATTATTCTCTTAACAAGTCTTGATGGCTTTTCCCTTAATTTGTAAATAATATACATCATATGCTAGAAGCTGCTTACATTATGCACTAAAAAATGTAGGCAGCATGCATTATGGTGGCACCAGGATTGTATAAAAGTCTGATTCTAATTTTTCATGAATTTTCAAGATATGTTCCCATTTCTTGATAATTATGCCACTAATCTCCCCTACTTCTCATTGAGGCATTTCTTTAGAGTCAAAATTGTCTATGTTTATTAGGTGATTCTTTCTTGCTTGTTGCAGAAATTATTAGTACCCTCAGAGATTGAGCTCATTGCTCAATCTCTTCATATTATTTCATAACACTTCATATTTAGTTGAAAATTCTTGGTATTGTAACAAATGCGCAGTGGCTTTTTTTTGCAGTTCCTGCCAAATTTCTATTTTAGTTGCAATGAAGATCTTATGTGATATGTAATTTCAGGCAGTGCGCAAGTTTCCTACAGGAGACCGGTGCCGCCTCCTTGTCTCTGATGGAGTTCACCGATGTGGATTTGCAATCATGGCCACCCAACTCAATCCTATGATCAACAGTGGTGAAGTCGCTCAACATGCTGTTATCAAGGTCACCAGATATTTTTGCAGCCAAGTATCAGAAAATAAGAAGGTATGTGGACTCCTAATATATTAAATTTAGACATCCTTTATCCTTGGAACAATCATAATCTAGAGTGTACCAGTTTATGAGGCCTACCTGATGACCGTCATATTAATTTTGATCATTGGATCAAATTGTGAAAATAATCTGATTCGCACCTGATTTACATTGAGCTTTGATCCTATTCATCCTAATCATCAGAGGATGAATATCACAAGTGAATGACTTCGAGTATTGAGTATACATTTAGTGCCACAGGTGCTTTTTCTACTCTAAAATAACTTAAACCTATGACAAATTGAATTCTCGAAAGTTTTTTAATTATGGCTCAGAGAAGCAGTTGGTCACTAGCCATTTGTGTTTGATACTTATCTTATCAGTCTGCTTGCATCGCAAGTTCACAAGGAATTTAAAAGCAAAGAAAACGCCAATTTTATAAGTCCAAATTCTACGACAGACATAAAACCCACAGATGACATAATATTATATAAAAAAACCAGAACTCGTGGAACAACTTAGTCCTAGGAGTCACGAAAAGAATAAAACTTAGAAAAACACTATAACATAAAAGCCTAGCGATTTACAGTTTCAAGAGGAAATGAACTAAACGCATTATTGAGACACAGTTTTTGTTTGAAGATATGTAGAGACTCCAAAATCCTCGAATCCAAGCAGCCAGAAATGAAGCCGTGTATCCTGAAATCGCTCTCGGATACATCCGCGTCGCACTGTTCAGCATGGAGGCGCATTGAAGAATGAGGAGGCTTGCCGAGAAGCAAGTTCGAACGATAGCTCCTGCCGCGGTGTTCAGAAACCCGGATGTAGAAATTACGCGACGTCATTCCAACATACGCAGATGCGCAGCGCTCACAACTTTACGCATAGACCTGGGGCCGTATTATCAAAACTTCGTATGTAAGCAAAATCGACTTACGAGTGGCGTAAGTGCTGACTTGATGACGTAACTCTAGAGGTGGTATTATCAAAACATTTGCGCGAGAAGATACGTAACGTAACTGTACGCCTGCTCGGAGATGTCGTAAGTGAAGTTCCCCTCAAGTTTTGAGTGTCTGCTGAAGCGATAGGAAACTATTAATTTACTAGTAAGCAGCAACACCTTGACTTGTGATGGAATTTTGTCAATAATCCGACAGCGCGGATTATACACGCATAGAATGATGACTCTACTTGTGATATCTCCACTACTTGATCGTGCAACATTTGCACGATCAAAATAGGTGATCGTGCTAAACAGTGCTATTGGAGAAAATTCAATTGAGTTAATGCCAGAAACTGGTTTTGTTTTCCTTTTACGTTATATTTTACAAACAAATGCATATTACGTTATATTTTACAAGCGCGAAAGCAAAGCTTTCGCGCCCAACTCTCATCATTCATTCCTTCTAGTCGGTACTTTATATCTCTGCCAACCATAATTTTATCTCCGTACGCAGATTTCTTCTTCAACTCACGCTGTTTATTAAAAAGAGTTCACAACTATTTTAGAACGGCTTTTTCTGAGCCAACAAGGAGCAATACCGACAGACAGCATTCGATAGTCGATAGGTACCATCGAAGGCATCGATTCCCGCCATTGAAGTTCACAGAATGTAAACAAATCCAAAGCCTCTGATTGGTCAGTTGGCCAGATGTTTTTGATAGTACGCTTTTAGCTAAGCCTTACGTACGAATGTTTTGATAATGCCAAAATTAGGGTTTACTTACGTAACACGTAACTTTTTTGTCGGAAGTACAAAAAGTTACGAAGTTTTGATAATACGGCCCCAGGTTTGATCGCATCCGGGCAGGAATATCGTCCTTATACCTGAAGAAAGAACCAATTTTGAAATTATTTACCAGCAAAAGATGCAAATTAATATTTGTGAAATATTTCATGAACAAAATCTTCAGTTCTCTGGACATAGTTTCAAACGCACTACCTACCAAAATAGAGCAATGTGCAATTAATAGTTTTCTTACTATCATATTCAGTCACAGTTTCAGAAACCTTTCTGGAACTTTCACCTTACCTTTCTGATCTTCAAGCATCTCTCTCTCGTGCGGGTCATTTCTTTGAGTATCTAAACCTCAAACATTCTTCAATAAAATTCTCCATGGAATTAGAATCCAACAATTTATTGTTGTTTCTCGATTGTAAATTTACTAAATGTGGCGGTCGTTTTCAAACTTCCGTGTATATCGAAAACAGACATTTACCGGCTTGGGTATGAGCTTCTATAGCTTCTGCTCGTTTTGTTTTAAATTGAATAATCTTCAAACTTTGATATAATGCGGCTATAGGGTTTTTTCTACTACCGTCCATGATATGCATTTGGAATTCTAATTTATTCGTAATATATATCGACTGGATGGTTTTCCATCGTGCCTTGTGTTTAGTAAAATCAAACGCTTCTTATATAACAAATTTTCTGAAACTGTGACTGAATGCGATAGTAAGAAAACTATTTATTGCACATTGCTCTATTTTGGTAGTGCGTCTGAAACTATGTCCAGGGAACTAAGGATTTTGTTTATGAAATATTTGCCGAATATTAATTTGCATGTTCTGCTGTTTAATAATTTCAACATTTGTTCTTTCTTCGGGTATAAGGACCTTATCTCTGCCCGGATGCGATCAAACCTGGAGTACAGTTGTACGTGCTGCGCATCTGCGTACGTTGAAATGACCTCGCGTAATTTCTACATCCGGGTTTCTGAACACCGCGGCGGGAGCTATCGTTCGAACTTGCTTCTCGGCAAGCCTCCTCATTCTTCCGTGCGCCTCCATGTTGAACAGTGCGACGTGGCTGTATCCCAGAGTGAATTCAGGATACTCGGTTCCACTTCTGGCGGCTTGGATTTGGAGTCTACATATGTTCAAACGAAAACCGTGTCTCAATAATGCGTTTAGTTCATATTTTTTTAAAATTGCGAATCGCTAGGATTTTATGTTTTAGTGTTTTTTATTAAGTTTTATTCTTTTCTTGACTCCTAGGACTAAGTTGTTCCATGAGTCCTGTTTTTCAATATAATTTCCCTAGGTCTTGTTTAGGTTTTATGTCTGTTTTAGAATTTTGACTTATAAAATGATTATATTCATTTATAGATTGTCCAACTGATGATGGAGCTGAACTCCGAAACATTTTCAATATCGATATGGTGAATTTGTTTTGCGTTTTCTTTGTTAAATTCTTTGTGCCAGCTACTTCATGTGGGCTCACGCCTGTGCAGATGATGATCATCCTGGGTCTGGAAGTCCTCCTAACAGCTGAAGATGTTGGAGGTGAAATAGGGAACCCTACGACATATGAAAGTGGGACATCAAATGCTCCTGCAGCTGCTCCTGCCGCAGCTTCCAATCATTCCATCACCCGACCCTCTCCTGTAGCTAATGGTGTGTGCCCCACTGATGTGTATGCGTATCATTTAGAAATTTAATGGTGTGAATAATCATTAGTTATTCAGTTTTTTATGCTGAATGCATAGTTGTACTTTGAGACATTCCCTGCATTTACTAGGAGTGTTTCTAGCAAGAGGCTAATACCTAGAATAGAACCATGCAGCTCAGTCCCTGATTAGAGAATTGAATCGCAGTTATAGGCTGGAAAAATGTAAATTCTATTCCAGTTTCAATTGCAAACATACGTTCTGTTTGACTTGGCAGTGATCAAGTGGAATGTTTTACAAGAATGAAACCTTGAGCAATCTTAGCTTTATTCTAAGCTAGCGTCTAGCTTCATTCAAAATAATGATAAATAATAAAGGAAATATTATAAAGCAATTTATGGTAATTGTTTGTGGTTCATTTTATTTTTGGTGTAGGAATGCATGTTTCCACGAACTAACATTACGTAATGCCAATATTTGGGCCTTTTTCACTACTGGTGGAACATCGAGACTGAGACCATGTTCGAAGCCAGACCCATGAATTTCTGATCATCGTTCTAATATGTGGTTTATCAATATTTATGGATGATTGAGTTCTTTATTACAATGAGAAAGCATGTTTCAATGAGAAAGCAAGTTTCAATGAGAAAGCAAGTAGCTTAATAGCGTCGTGAGAATTATTTGCTGGAGATCTTGGTTACTGACACTTTTTAGGCCGGGCTCCTTTAGTGCAGCGCAGTGCACCTGGAAATGCACCCGCTGCAGATGGAGGAGGTATGATGCCCCAGGCTCCTGATGGCTTCCCTAAAGTTCGCCCCATACAAACACTTACACCTTATCAGAACAAGTGAGTTATCTGTTGGAAGACTTATTGTTTCTGTGCTTATAAAAGTCAACTTTGCCAAAAGAGATCACGATAAGTCTCACTTATGACACATCCTTGTATGTATTTATTTTTTGAATGAATATTGCAATCATTATTTTTTGACCATAGTCTGTAGCACAATTCTTCTTTTTTCCTTGCCTTTTTATTCTTTTCAGTATCCAAATCTACAAATTAATTTCTTGGCAATTGACATAACTTATATTTCTAATTTCATGCAATATTTTTGAATAGTTTCCTAAGGTTATTTTGACAACTGTTGAATCTGCTGCAGTTTCTATCGGACTTAATCTAAGTCTCCGATTGCTTTAAACCGTATTTCATTAATTTTCAGATGGTCAATTTGTGCTCGGGTCATCCAGAAGTCAAACATTCGTACCTATAGCAACTCGCGCGGTGAAGGGAAGCGTTTTTCCATGGAACTTCTTGACCACTCGGGTGAAATCCGAGCCACTGCCTTCAATGCCGAGTGTGATAAATTCTACGATATGATTGAGGTGAGACTCGTCAGCATTTGTGGCTTTGATTATTTGCAATTAACTTTTATTGATATGGATAACCAGGGAAATTTCATCTAATGACGAGTATCTTCTCGCTAAATTGACAAATAAGGGCAAATGTAGTTGAAATGTGCTAAATTCGTGTTGGGTCTTATTATATATTTTAGTAATTAATCAGGGTGATTTGGTGATTAGTTATATACAGCTCCTTTGTATTTCTATTGTACTGAAAAGGATCCTATTAATTAATTTGGAGATGTAGGTATATTAAATGCTACTTAAATTCTGATTATGATCTGTAATTTCTTTTTTTTTATTTTCTTAGCCCAACAAGGTGTACTACATCTGTTCAGCGACACTCAAGACTGCCAACAAACAATTCACTTCTGTTAAAAACGATTATGAAATGACTTTCAATTCTGGAACGAAGGTAAGACGTAATTTGTATTGCATTGCTTTTATTTTTAAGGAAAGGCATGCTGCCGTTCCCTATTAATTGGTTTTCTTCATTGTCAGAAATACCTCAACCCTGAAGCCAGAGTTTTTGACTAAATTGGGTTCCAGTTTCCTTGTTTTCTCCTCTTGTATAGAATTTGTTGATTAGAGAGTAGGAAAAATGCGAATAGAAGTTATGAGGCGAATTGGTTGTTCTTGTTTATGTGGGGGGGACTCAGGATTGCTTAGGGAGAAATCGAAGCGACGCTCCGTTGCGGGTTGCGGGGTATATAAGTAGCTGGGCGTGCGTCAGGTGGCAGTCTCGAGCTAGTTAGCCAACTGAGCGGCCGTGTGGTCATGTCGGTGGTCTGAGTAGTATTGATGTACAAGGTGAAAGTAATACAAAAGTGACGAATACCTTGATATTAAAGAAATCAATACGAAAGTGACGAATACCGTAAGATTGACGACAGGATTTCGAAGACACCTGCGAAAACCTAGATGCGCTTGAGCAAAGATTACGGAAGCTACAACAGTGACCGAATTAAAACAATGACGATCTGCTATACGACTCGAGTTATTACCTCTTGGTGGGAAAGAGCCCGGGATTGACTCCACCGTAAGTCGAGAGTCTGCACCAGCACAGCCGCATCAAGAATACCATCGAGGAGACGCCAACACAAGGATTCACACCGGCCAACTCAAAGATTCTAATAACTACGGTAAAGTCGACCAGCCCTCAGTGTCCGGGTGTCTCCATTCCAAACCTGGTAATGTACCAGTTGGAAAACTTATGAGTAAAAGATCAAGGCAGCCAGCCGCTCTAGTTGTCAATGGCGTTTCTTAACAATGGTGTCGACAAATAACTCCCCTCCTACATAATATACAAATTTGAAATTTGCATTGGTAGTCTGGAATTATTTTCAATTCACAAACATTGAGATGAATTATGTAAACTTTATTGCCACTTTCATCGCGAGTAAATTTTTTGACCCATGACGATCGTAAAACGCTCAACTTTTTTAACATTCTCGTGATAATAGTTAATTTAACTATTTATTCTTCATTGATAGTTATACCAAGCATTTCTGAATCATTCTTCTAGTATATTAGATATATAAGTAATCCACAACAAAAAGATAAGTGAAACTTCCGTCGATTTGTCCAGGTTTCGTTGTCATATGTTGTAGGAGGAAAGAGTCACGGGAGGACAAATCATCACTTTACACTTCAAAAGGCAAATGAAGTTTCATCCTCTCACTTCTTCCTCACTCTCCTCCACGCCCCTTGTCAAGTGCTTTCGGGGCTGTTAATTTTAAAGGACCCAGACGTTTCAATTACAGTCTTCGTTGTTAGCTCGAGTGACGTGACGGTTTATGTTTGATCAGATAGAAAACTCATTGTACTGTGGTGAAATTAGACAATATTCGGGCAGGACTTGTTTAGTTGTATAGTATCTTCGAGACTCCTGCGTCCCGAAATAATTTTCTCGAAATGAGCCGGGACAGACGAAACGAGACGAGAAAATTCCGGGAAAAAAATAACGGGACGACAGAGGGTAAAATTTGTCCCGGAATAAACGTATGAACCGAGACAAGACTTCTGTCTCGGACTTAAAAACTTATTTCCCGGTTAATTATGAACCGGGACGAGACAGACAGATTTTAAACGAGACATAACGAGACGAGACGAGATTTGTCTTAGTTATTTAAAGGGGAGGGGTATACCCTAAAATTTTCGGATTTGGCTTTTCCGGTTTTTAGTCTCATCTTAAAGCTGACATTCTGCCCTATCCAACGGTACCATTGCCATCTCTGTACGTTGATTTATGCTTTCACGACAGATCATGAACTGGGGGCGGGTGGGGGAGTTCTTCAACAAATTAGATAGGAGTTAATTAGCTGCTCAGCACTTTAAATATAGTGTCTACTTGAATTGCGCTTCAGTTACCCGTTTAGTCATGCAATATCTACACATAGCCTCAGATCAATGAGCTGTGTGTAACTCCGGCTAACAGTAAATCCGCTTTGCACAACACAGCCACTGCTTCACAGCGCCGGAGCGCAACAGGCCCTATCGCAACAGGCGCAGGTTAGGTTAGGTTAGGAGTAGCCTGTTGCGGCAGGGCCTGTTGCGCTCCGGCCAGTTGTGGTCCGGCACTGTGAACCAGTGCCTGTGACTGAACGGCGCTGTTGTGGTGGGCGCTACGTGTCGAAATCCGTGAAGATACCCGGCTGCGTTACGCTCTGGAAGGTATATGAATCGCACTGTGGACTTGGGCTATGCTGACCTGTAGCTATCAACCCCCGCTGTCTGCAGTGAAGATGAGAAGTTTTTGCGGTAACTTCGGAATATCGAAAGTTTTTTAAATGGTAATATAAATGTATGCCTAAACGTGCTCTCGGACACGTCACTATCCTGGCCAGATGCTGCGGTCGAAATTTACTCTCAGTTCGCCCAGTGTGCCGAGTTAAGCAGAGTTGGAGCGTCCGTGAATGGGGCTCTTAAGGCTGGTAGTCACAGTGCGGCGGAGTCCTATAGCGAATAATTCGCGACAAGGATGTGGAAGACTTGTTCTGTGTTCAGATTGGCAAGTTGCTATGCATGAGCTTTGTTGCCTTCGTAATATAAGATCTGAACCAGTACCCATGCTTTGGTCTACGGCCGGTTTTCAGGTGGCCAATGGAATGGCCTGCGGTCGGCTAGAACTAATTGGCCTCGGCCGACCACTGACCATCTATTATTACTCGCCCCTCATTGTGCTGCTCTGTACCACAAGAGTGACAGGCTGGTTATTTACAACGTGTGATTCCCCTCAGTCTTTCTCAAACTCCCTTATCTGAACTGCAGCTTCCAAAAAAATGTAAAATCTCTGATTTAGCAGTGATGAAAACGTTTTTCGTTAGAAAATATCTACAAAATAGAGGTTGATTCAAATGTGTCTTTAATACTGATCAATTAAAAATAAATAATATTTTTCCTTATGTCTCACAAATTTAGGTAAGTCGCCTTGTATAAAGAACATGCTGAACATCAGTGTATAACCTTTTCCTCTATCATAACTGATGCTATACAAAATTAACATATTTTTCTCACTGTAGAGAAATTGTAAATAAATAGCTGAATACGCATGAAAAAAATTCAGATTGATATTTCATTTACGAGCGGAATCATAGTGACTATACTTAGTGATAGAATCTCATTGGGATCCAGCTAAGCCTGCCTGATCGAGGGCTCTCGCGGTTCTCAATCAGAGCTTTGAGTCAGACAGTTTCTTTTATCTCTCTAGAGGCGGGTGTTTTAGCAGAGGGCGGCTAGTCGATATCTGATTAACCATCACAGTTGTTATTCCTAGCTATTGTCTCTTTTCTTTAATGAGGTATGTGTCTGATTTTTATAATATACAGTGGGGGGAAATAAATATTCGTACACTTGAAAAATCGTATTTTAATGTGTGTAAGTACACAAACTTAACAGGAAAAGTGATTTAAATTATGTATTGAGACGCATAGTATTCAAAAATACTATCAAAAGAAATTAAATCTCAATGCAACAAAAAACAATGCAACATGTTCACTTTTCGGGGTGAAAAAAGTTTTGAGATTTAATTTCTTTTGATAGTATTTTTGAATACTATGCGTCTCTATACATAATTTAAATCACTTTTCCTGTTAAGTTTGTGTACTTACATACATTAAAATACTATTTTTCAAGTGTACGAATATTTATTTCCCCCCACTGTAAGTAATATAGGACGTGCTGAATCTTCCCATGTGTTGTTTATACCCTCCTAGTCAAGCGTCACGGCCAGATCGAGAATCGCAACCGCGCCTATATAGTTAGTCACTACGGCCAAACCAACCTGACAATAATGCATATCTGGAACTGTAACGCAACGTAAAACTGGAAGAACAATTGATTCCGATTGATAGTCGCAAAATGTGAGGCTATCGGAATACAGAATAGGTGTTCAAGTTTTTTTGCACTGAAACAAATTTAAATTTGATATAAACAGAGAAGTTTGATTTTTTGGAGGTATAAAGGTTATTGGCTGTTTTATTTTTTTGCATATATCTGTTTATATATTGGCTGTTTTTATTTTTTACATATATCTGCAATACTTTCATTTCAAGTCACTTCTAGAGTTTCTGATTCTTTTCAATCTAGAATTGATTATTTTCAATCCTATCACCAACTCGGTAATTGTCTTCTATAAAATTGAAATATATGATGCTGTTATGAGTAGACATTTAATTTTTATCTCTACTTCTTCAGGTGGTCCGCTGCACCGAGGAAAAATCTATTCCCGCCTTGCAGTTTGATTTTGTCACCATCGACCAGTTGGAAAACGCCCAGAAAGGCACGATTGTTGGTATGGTTTTATTTTTTGTTTACCTCCCATGGTGTAATTTCTTTTGATACGTTATTTATCGTTAACTTTTGGAGATGAATATTTTCGCATACAGAAATAGAGGCATTTTCAAACCGCGTCAAGATAGTGAAAACGCCCAGGAAGGCAGATGTTGACTTTTCCTGTCGCACTGCCTTTAGTAATTATATATGTATATGACCTGTGGTTTGACTCGGTTGTAGCGTGATTCGAGGATATTAAAGAACAGCATATAGATTAATACAATATTATTGATTATAATGTTAGGTTTACAGTCTATGGTGATACAAGAGTATATGTTGGAGCTTCATCACTGCTGTCTTCGGCTTTCGATTGATTAGTAATGAGTCTAGAGTATATACGCGTGACGTTCTCCTTTCTGACATTAATTAGGCGTTACTGTCCTGTTGATATGGACAGGATTAATGGGCTGCTTTTTTTACTAATGCAGTGAATATTTCGAACTGTATTAAGGACATGAATGTGGCCGAGTCATGGTCACTTCTCAAGGACATGGTTATGTCTGCAGTTGATGCGTGTGTACCTAAAATTAAGCTTGGTGGAGCCAAAAAAACTCGGTGGATGAACAGTACAGTTTTAGCTAAGCTGAAAACAAAGAAGAAAGCATACCAGAGTTATTTACAGACTCGTAACGATGCTGACTATAACCTATACGCAAGAGCTCGAAATCAAGCTAAAGAAAGCTGTCGCACCGCAGTAAAAACCCTCGAAAAAAGTATTGCTAAAAATGCAAAAAAAATAACCCGAAAGCCTTCTTTTTGTACGCTAGCTCGAAGTGCAAGATGCAGAACGGTATTTCTGATTTGAAAGTAGATCAGCGAAAGATATCCTCCGATGAGGGCAAAGCCAACATACTTAATCATTTTTTCAGTAGCGTATTCACTGAAGAGGACTTGAACAGTATTACAGCTATTGAGGAGCGCCCAGTCGGCTCTAAATTAACAAGCTTTGAAATACAAGAAGAAGAGGTTCTCAAGCGCTTTATCGCTGTAAATCCAAACAAGTCATGTGGACCAGACGGCTTCCACCCCAGATTACACAAAGAGTTAGCAACTGTCCTAGCCGGCCCTCTGACGTCACTTTTTCGAAAAACTTTGATCGAAGGAATGTTGCCGGCTGACTGGAAAGAAGCTCAAGTGACACCATTGTTCAAAAAAGGTGACAAAATCTGCCCGGGCAACTATCGCCCTGTCAGGTTGACAAGTGTCGTTTGCAAGGTAATGGAATCTGTTGTGAGGCATCGATTGATAGATCATTTGATTGCTAATAATCTCCTATCAGACTGTCAACATGGCTTTATTGCCGGGAGATCCTGCACCACTAACCTCTTGTCGACTCTGAACGAATGGACCCGCCTGCATGCTGGGCGAAAGGGAGCCAATAGATGCAGTGTACCTCGATTTTGCCAAGGCATTTGAAAGTGTCCCACACGAGCGGCTGTTGCGTAAATTGAAGTCTTTGGCAATTGAGGGTAATGTACTCAAATGGATCAGAGATTTTCTAGTAGGGAGGCGACAACGTGTCAGTATTAATGGGTCCGTATCAGACTGGGCTTCAGTGCGCATCATATGTTCAGTCTTAAATTGCCTAGCAAATTACGGACCAGGCAATAAGTCCAGCAGCTATCTCAATCAATCGTCAGCTATGGAAAGATCGGGTTCCAAAGGCCGGATCCCTTGTGAATCAAGTCTCGAAAAGTTCAAGAATCGGCAACAGGCCAGGGGCCTATTTCTTCATCGCCGACACTTCTATTCTATTCTATTCTACACACGGCGGTCCTCGCCCAAGACTAAAGTTCCGGGTTTTTATACGGAGCTTATATAGCTTCGCTATTCAACGTCACCAATGTCGTGAGTCGCTATCGCGTTGAACAAGGGAAGGCTAACACAAGGGAAGGTACCTACCTACATGCTATGAACATACCGCAATGAAGGAGATTATCTTTCAAAATGGAAGATACTAACGAGGGAATATTCAGGGTCGAATGGTAGTAAACATTGTCACTTAACCGCAGGCCTCTAATTACTGTTTTAATAAAATTGTGAATTCTATCTGTTGAATGAAGTAGAATTAAAATTAGTGCCTCATTGACATAAATTTATAAATTTATATCAAACGAAACAAAATCCAAAGAATCCTAAGAAGGGAAAAATAGAGGCTCCAAAAAGCCATTGAGCATTCAATGTACAATGGCATCTGATAGTTCAAGTCCTAACTAATTGAAGATATAATTACTGCGTCAGTAACTTGAATTTTATAATAAATATATTAAACAGAGTAAATTATAGAAGTATCATAGAAATGGAAAGTAGAGCCACACGAGAAGGCATTATGCATTGACTGTGAATTTAATTGCAGATCTGATTGGTTTGTGCCGCGATTCGTCAGCTGTTCAGCAGTCGCCGGGCAAGAAGCGAAAAAGAGAAATTTCTATTGTAGACCACACCAATCGAGCTGTTAGTGACCATAACCTTACATTTCTATTGTAGACCTCACCTCTCTATTGTAGACCTGTTAGTGACCTTAATCTTAATCATGCAAGAAATCTTAACCGCGCTATTAATTTGTAAATAGAATTAAGAAAAAATCTCATCATTTATACATCTTTAGCACTAATAGCCAGTAGGAAATATGTATATAAAAGCAAGTTAATCATTAGGTGTCATTCATTTCAGTTAATAACATATATGAGGAGGATGATGCATAGTTAGAAAATTTCAAAATTGATTTTGGTTTTTCTTACATTCTGATGTAACGCTTTAATGAGTCGCTTTAATAAGGTAAAGTTCTTAAATTTCGATCGTTTATTTTGTTGTATAAAAAGGAGACAAGAAATCTGATTTATTAATTTGTTTGCTCAGGTATCGCTGACCCTGTGGGGCGAGCAAGCAGAGAAATTTGACGGTACTGGCAATCCCGTGATCGCGGTCAAGAGGGCTAAAGTAACGAATTTTGGTGGCTTTTCCCTTTCTCTAAACGGCTGTTATCAGGTTAATTTTGTTTTTGTATTGGGGATTCGTCTAGAAATTCTTTTAAATTCAAAGTGTAGTTTCGCTTTGAACGTTTCATTTTCGGTTCACCCAGGCATTAAAAATTGCTTGACTAGTTTCTCAGTTACAATGATACGTAGAGCGAGTATTGGGATACGAGTACGTTTGATACAAAATTTCGATTGGTTAAATTGACTGACGTTCATTACACAAAGAACGACTAAAATTCACCACTCGATATAAATGCAAATTTTACCTGGCTTTGGACTATGTTCATGTTTCATTTCACAGGTTAACCCCGACATCAGCGAGGCCCATCAACTGAAAGGCTGGTGGGAACAAGCTGGTTGCAACTCGTCAGACATCATCAACCTGTCCAACCAGCGTGGAGGTGCTGGTAATGGTGAGTCTGACGTGATTGAATAGAAATTACATGGGCCTGTAATTCTCAAAGGTATGTGTCTAGTAATTTTTAATGATACGTCTCTTGTAACTCTCAATTCTATAGGATACTTTGCGATGATTATGATTGCTATCGGTAATTTTAGAATTGAGTGACTTTTGGAAATCAGGTGTCAGGAAATAGTTGGGAGCTTTTATTGAAATACTGTTTATAAATTATTGAGCTCTTCTTATCTTAGCTGTCACTCTAGAGGCCATAGTATAGTAGTATAGTATCTTCCGCATTAAAGAGTAGGCCTGGATAGGCCGGTCGCCGATTTTTGTGCTTTTCTTGACTAGACTGGCCTTTTGATCAGATCTTTTCAACGGACGGTAGATTTAAAATCGATTCTAGATATCAGTTGTTCCGTAGGGTACGAGGCATTTTAAGACTAAACATATGCTCTTGCATGGCCTTGTCTAGTCTGTTCTTGAACGCGTTCATACTCGGAGCGTCAACAATATCTTCAGGGAGGCTGTTCCACATGTCAGAGACTCGAAGCGAGAAGTAATGTTGTCGCGTGGATAAGTTGCACCGCAGTTTTTTAGTTTATAGCTGTGGCCCCTGGTGTTGGTTCTTGTTATGTTATGTTAAATCTGCAATTAACTCAATTTACCTTGTAACTGTCTATGTCCCTATTAGCAATAAAGGGTTAACCTGTCATTCTTCAACCCATGTTTTCAAAATGATTCGTATCGTAATCGAAAAACTTGTTTTGTCTCAAATAATTAAGACAAATCTCGTCTCGGCTCGTTATGTCTCGTTTCAAATCTGTCTGTCTCGTCCCGGTTCATAATTTACCGGGACACAAGTTTTAAAGTCCGGGACAGAAGTCTTGTCTCGGTTCATACGTTTATTCCGGGACAAATTTTACCCTCTGTCCCGTTATTTTTTTCCCGGAATTTTCTCGTCTCGTTTCGTCTGTCCCGGTTCATTTCGAGAAAATTATTTCGAGACGCAGGAGTCTACTCGAAACTAGTTAACATCGAGTCCACTGGTCGCTCCTCAATAGCTGGAATACTGTGCAAGTCCTCATCTGTGAAGACGCTGCTAAAGAACTGATTTAGGACATTGGCCTTGCCCTCGTCAGAAGATATCTTCCGTTGATTTACACTCAAATCAGCAATACCATCCCTTGTCTTGCACTTCGAACTAGCATACAAGAAAAAGGCTTTCCGGTTCTTTTTCGAGTTTTTGGCAACGTCTCTTTCAAAATTTTTGACTGCTGTGCGACAAGTTTTTTTAGCTTGATTTCGAGCTCTTGCATGCAGGTTATACTCAGCATCGCTACGAGTTCGTAAATAACGCTTGTAGGCTTCATTTTTTGCCTTAAGCTTTGCTTTAACCGTATTGTTCATCCACTGTATTTTTCTGACTCCACCGAGCTTTATCTTAGGTACACGCGCATCAACTGCAGACATAACTATGTTCTTGAGCGTCAATGTCAATATGACCAAGACTCCGCCACATTCATGTTCATGATACAGTCCGAAATTTTCGCTGCACTCACTGATTCACGAAGTTTAACATAGTCGCCTTTCGCAAAGTTGAAACGTTCACGCTTCCGAGGCGTCTTTTCTGTATAGCTTAATACTAAAAAACAATGACTGTTGGTGACTTTTGCCCAACGGAGCCTCGTGGCGAAGTTCTTCTACCATTGATTCTTCAATAGTAAACACTAGGTCTAGAGTATTTGGAGTCTGATTACCTCTAAAATGGGTTGGCTTTGTGATGTGCTGGTATAAAAATGAGTCTCGCACAGACTCCATGAACAAGGATGAAGGGTGATTCTCATCCCCTGGACAGGATTCATGTGCCCAGTCTATTTCTGGATGGTTAAAGTCACCAACGATTAACGTATGCGACCTGCTGAAAGTCATGCTTGGTAGAAGACTGTTCAGTACTTTATCGTTATCAGAGGAACTGTTGGGTGATCTATACAGGACACATATAAGGAGGCTATCCCTACTTTTTAAAGAAAGCTCGCACCACACTGATTCTCTAGCTGATTGGTGCTCTGCTGATAACTTAACTTGTTGGGCCCCATAAAAGGTTCTAACCCACAGAACTACACCTCTACTACACTGCTCTTCGCTTAAATTATGAAAGCAATCAAAACCTGGCAACTGAAATTCCACTGGTAAAATTTTCCCCCCGTGATTTATGGGAAGTGTCTCTGTAATACAAATAATGTCTATACACTCGTTTCCGATCACAGTTAACAGTTCATTTCTTTTGTTCAAATTTTTGTTCAGTTCATTTCTTTTGTTCGAATCAGAGTTCGTGTAGAAACATTTCAAAACTTTTTGTGCACTTCCATCTTGATGTATGAGTAAACTTTTTACCTTATTTACAGAACTGGATTTATATACATGATTTCCACTATTTAATTGTCTTCCATCTCCCCTGACTGTTGGCGAGCGGTCGGAGTCCTCGTGAGATCTTGACTGGTGTTAACATGATTTTCCGTGTTTCTGCGTCCGTTTCGCTCCAGCCATTTCTTGCGGAACTCCGCCCTCTCTAAAGGGGTGGAATCTTTCTTCACAAAAACAGACTTGAATTCAACAGTTTCTCCTAATTTTTTCGCTGCTTTCAGCACGCTCCAAGCCTGGACCGGATCCTTCACAGTCACCATGTATAGAGGTCTGCAGGCGTTATTAGCAGTATTCTTGGAGCGCAACCTCTTGCACGATGCAATATCAACCGGTGTGCTTTGTTACAACAGTCTGCCACATACTTACTGTCGGCCATCACACGTTCGTTCGTCTCAGATGCGGGGCTTTCGGGAATGCCGAACCAAACAAGGTTTGACTTCCTTCGTTCTCTGTCTAGTAATTCGCGGGAGCTTTCGCTAGCAATTTCAGCTATGTCCACGTTGTGATTCTTCAGTTCCATCTTTTCCAAATTTTCTGTATTTTTCCGTTGAGCTCTCTCTTCGCTCAGCTCTTTGCGCAACGAGCTCAGTTCATTACTCAAAGAGCCATCTAAATTACTCAACGTGTTCATCTCTTTCCGATAATTGTTTTCCATTTCAGCTCTAAATGCCGTGAACAGAGCGAACCACTTCTCTTCCATCTGCTTCTCGCTTTTCCTGGAACGGAGAGTCGATTTCTCGCAGTCGCTGCAGAACCAGTGAAACGACTTTGTTTTCTGTAGGAAAGAATATTCTTCAGAGCTCAGCTTCGCGCAACTGATGCAAATGAAGTCCTCGCAGTGTTCACAGATGACCATCTGATCATCTTCTCTCAACGAGGTCTCTTTGCAGAACTTGCAAGCATCTTCAACTACGCACTTCGATCTCCTGTTCGATTTTTTCGGTGCATCTTGTTTCAAAAAACCGCATTCCTTCTTAACAATCTTGTTTACTTTCTTCCCAGCCATCGAAATATCTTCTTTCTTAATTGTTTAATGGTTTCCGGGTTCCTTCACTGAGATTTAGCTAGGGTCTCTCACAGCAATAAATCACCGGAAACAAGCCTGTTTAACACAACCGCCTGACGGTAGTAAAGTTCCGGAAGTACAGCACAACCGCCTGACGGCAATAAAGTTCCGGAAGTACAGCACAGCCACCCGACGGCAATAAAGTTCCGGAAGCAATTCAAAGCAGGAAACAATTAAGTCGGTCAGCCTCCAGGAGCGACTACACAACACGTCTGATCTCCCCCGCGTCTCAATCTGAACTCAATATACTCAATCTGAATATACTATGGAGAATAATTATAAGTTTGTAACTCCGTCAGCTGATCACCGTTGGATTTTCAAGCTTAACCCATCAATCACAGACAAGAAATCTGTCACTCTGTTTACTTAGGCCGCTGTTTGTACTTGTACCGCTGCATATACTTGGATCACTACGCGTGTTTAGGCCACTACATGTACTTGTGTTGCTATGTGTAGTTATGTCGCTATATGTACTTAGGTCGCTACTTGAACTTAAGGTCGCTACGTGTACTTTAGGCCGCTACGTGTAATTTGACCGCTCCGTGTTCTTAGGTCGCTACATGTACTTTAGCCGCCGACTAAACCTATGCGGATTTCTATAGTACGACCCTTAATGTTTGCATGTTCAGCTGTAGGCGCAAATGCCGTCTTCAAAACCCTGCTGGAAGCCAAGAAGGAAGGTCTGGGCAGCCGCAACCAGCCTGATTACTACAACGCTAAGGCCATCGTGACGCTCGTACGCAAGGAGAACATCCTCTACCAGGCCTGTCCCAACGATGGCTGCAATAAGAAAGTCAAGGACCACAACAACGGAATGTACTGGTGCGCTGTCAGTTCCTGGTGCATTTGATATTTTTTAGCTGCTATGGTACTTGAAAAAATGTAGTCTATAATTGGGAAATATTCCTACTCTCTAATTATGATTGTATTTGAAAATGCACTTGAAGAATTTAGCCTACTTCTGCTTTTGAGAAACATTCCAATTTACGAACTATGATGGAAACACAAGTTTTCAATACCGTGTAAAGAGAAAAGTATGACGATGATTTCACAACATTTCAATGGGTCCGCCATTTTTACCTTATTTAGCTTGAAATTCAAAAGAGTAACTCTTCAAATTGTGTGCATTGATTTTTTTGCAAGTTTGTAAAAGTATTGGACGAAAATCGCTTATAATTTCAACAAGTATTATGTATCTGTTTTTATTTTGCTTTCATTGATACCCTATAATGAGATTTTTCTTTGTCAGTCATATGATTGAAGAACTTAAATTACATACGATACATAATGATTTGGAGACATTTAACAAATTTGAGGTTAGGAAACTCTTATTTACTGTAAATGCTCGCACGAATCCTCCTGAGAAATGCGTGTAAGTTTTAGCTTATGTTGCTAGTGTTGTTACCCTTTTTAAAGGCACCTGCTTTTGTTATTGAAACTCGTTAGTGTGTAGTTTAGTCTTTACTAGTACGTTTTCAGGTGCGAAAAATGCTGCAAAGAGTTGGACAGATTCAACTGGCAACTCGTGCTCAATTGCAACGTGGCAGACTTCACGGAGAACCAATGGGTGACAGCGTTTCGGGTATGTCTCTAACTTCTTAGATTTAACTTCTCGAACTTACTTGTTAAGATAAACTTTCAGTTTTACTGAAAAATTAGGTTCCTTCAATTTCTAACAACGGCGTATTTGAAGCATTAGCATCAGGTTTCTGAAAAGGAGAAAATGTCAAGGTGAAATGGGTTAAATTTGAAGCAATTGTACGTACGTGTTTTGGTTCGGTTGGTGTAGTGTATAAGTGTTCGAGTTTTAGTGTTGTTTACACTAATTTTATTGAGAATATTGAGAATATTCAAATTTAATCTTAAATCAATAATGAATAATACATCTACTTTAGTCCTTACATCATTGAATCTTAAAATTTTGTTATTCACAATAAACAAAAAGTTATTATGATTCGTCTGTTCATCAGGACCAAGCAGAGTTTATGCTGGGCTCTACAGCTCAGGAACTCGGAACTCTGAGAGATCAGAACCCAGACATGTTCCAGAGCATCATCGCTGGAGCCTCCTTCAAAGAGTACAACTTCAGGCTGCGAGTCGAGATGGAGACTTACAATGTGAAGATATATTTTATAATTTGACACTGTTTTCTGGTTTAATTTTTTGGTGCAACGTAAAGTCATTGCATTTATCAGGCAAGGTATAAATTTTCATTTCAACCCCTGAAGCTTCAGGAGTTAAGCTGAAGCCAAAAGCTTCAGCTGAAGTTAAAAGCTGAATGAATCTGTCATCTGAAGGAACCGTACACGGATTATTTTATCACTATTCACTTATAATATTCTTTGATTGAAAATGACAGCTCAGCATAAATTGGTTCAATCATTTCAACTAGATGCGAGCACCTGCTCAAAGAAATCTTGAAAGCGATTATTTACATCCTCTTTTTCCCTTTCAGAATGAAAGCCGCCTCAAGACTAATGTCATTTCCGCCGCACCCGTGAACCCCGTGGAGCTTAATCGGCGACTTATTAAGGAAATCCGGGAGCTTGTCACGTTAACATAAGCGTGTAAAAATAATGTTAATCAATCATTGATCAAAACGTTCAAGAACTTAGCTAGAAAATTGGATAGATACTCGAAACGTGTTTGAAATATTGAACGCGAAGCATTTTTGATAGTGTCAGGTGGTCGGTTCTGTGACCACCTGATGGGTTTATAACTGAGATTCAGGGTACTTTATTGTTCCAAGTAGGAATAAGGCAGGACAAGTGAAACGCACGGTTAACACTAAGTCTATTATAATTATAAACTGGCTCGGTGAGTACAGAAGGAAGGGGATTGACCGGTACAGCAGAAGTATGTGCAGGGCAGTACAATACTGCTACGACTGGCGGGCGGAGCACTGGCTGGGCTATATAGTCCTTGAAAGGGATGACGTCACTGGGCGTGAATCTACCATGTGCAGTACAGAACAAGCTAAACTGATGACGAATGAAAACCTTGGTTATGGTCCTCATGATGATAGATCACCGGACAATAGTGAAGTTAAATACGCTAAAAAAGGAGGATTTTCCTCCCGGAAGCTGGAATTCAAGCCACGCCAACTCTGAGTGGGCCGGCGTCTTTATAGCTCTAGGCTAGAGGCAAGCGTGAAAACATCTAGATTTTAACTTTGTTCAATTATGATATTGTGTTAAAAGTTTCTTATATAATGCACTGCATGATTGTACTGAAATTATTAGGCCAAAGTTTGCTAATAAATTTCGGGATATATTGGAAAGTTTCATGTTTGTAAGTGAGCGCGGGTCGCCATTTGCATAGACTGTGAATCCAAAACACGTGTGGGCTCTGTATAATCCAAGTGTAGAAAATTAAGTTAGTCTGAGTACCTGATTACGACCGATATTCTATTTTAACGATTACAATGGATTATTTAATTCAACTAATTAGCTGCCTATCTATTTCATTTATCTCATGTTGACGTATTCCATCTCGTGGAGCTTCGTTTGCCCTATCAAGTTGTTGTGTGCTCATGAATCAATACTGTCCAGTAGCTTGTTTTTACATATCTCAATTGTTGGAAGTGTGATCTCAGTGACCAGTTTAAAATGTTGAATTTGAATTGAGGGAATTCAGACAGTGGTTGTGCTGTCGGAATTTCAGTAGATCAGATTTACTCAAAATTAGGTTTTCCCTGCTCCTAGAATGTATGATAACCCATTGGTCTTTCTTATCGTAAATACGACACTGTATTATTCTAGTTTTTTTAGTACACTTACTGAGCCTTCAAGCAAACGTGAGCAACCAATGTCTCGACAGGAAGGAATTTCATGCAAGTTATGATAATGCTAACACTACCTAAAAAAAACAATTTTATTTGCTTGAGTCACACAAAGACTGGTAATAACTGAGAGTACTAACTTGGATGCCTATCTTATATACCTAGCTGATTTATTGTGCTCCCAGATATATGCTTAAATTCGCTTGAATCGCTGATAGTTTTGAATGCCGGTTTCCCGTACGCCAGACCTTGTCCATACTATGCTGATACTTGCATTTGAGAAAGCTATAGCTTATGTTTGGAACCAATGTGCAGGAATTTATTCGAACGTCTTCATCTTGATTTCAAAACACAATTTGTGAATCCTAGAATTAAACTAGGTTATGGAATGCTCCTCCTTCAATTAAGTTCAGTTGCATTGAGGGGAGTGCAGTTTTCAATTTCTCTTTTTTTGATGCTTTCCGAGTATTATGTTTAGAGCAATAAATAGTTGACCATGCCCTTGTAAATGTTCTTAGAACAAAATTGTTGGTATTTGGTGTTTAGTTAGAATAGCTCCGACGCAATTCCACGTGTGCATGATTTTTACGTCTGCAAGATTCATTAAACGGTTTATGAAATAACTCCTTTTTGACCCTTATTGACGTCAAGTTGACGTTTGGCGGATAAGATGATAAGACAGAACGTAAATTCCCTCCACGATTGAATTATTCCTTGCCAGTAAAAAACGTTAGCATCGGGGCGGTGGTGTAAATCGTTTCATCCGGGCAGTGGAGTGAAAAGCGTTCACTGCTGAACGAATGAAAATACCTTCAAAAACTCATGAAATAAGGGTAGGGGGCTCCCCATTACCCTATTTGGAAGAAAGTTTTGTCAAAACTGTTGCCAGCTGTTTTGAGGACGAGGACTATCCAGAAGCGGCTTTGGTTAGAGTCGAGCTGGAGCTTAGGTGCTCCCAACTCGAGCTTCGGCGCAACCAGCTTCTTGCTAAGGTCAGGAGCGTCAAGGCCAGCAGAGAATCGGGACAGAGAGAAATGCAAAGAGAGCATTTCGTCTAGATCCGTTCATCCGCGAGTTGTTAGAGAAGGTTGTGCACGGAGCGATCGTGCAAGCCAGTTCGGGGGAAGTGTAGTCAGTCTGGCTCCCTCCATCGCTATCAGAGACAGAGATGCTCCTGCAGCTGAGCGCGTTAATGTGCCTGTCGTGAACGCAGAATAGAAGTGCACCAAATTTTCATAGATGGTGCAATTAATGCCGCCCAGACGGCAGTCATGAAAGCCTCCTCGAGATTTACGCTGATTTCCGATTTCTTTCACACAGGGCAGCAAATACCGCCAGCATCCGACGTTATTTACCGCCGAACCGTAGCGGACATACGAAATGTGCACTGCTGTTCACACACGATGGCTATAACGCAACGTAGGATTTGACGCCTGACGCCCGCGTGTGTCCTGCTAAAGCTGCGGCGGTAGATTTGCCGCGACAGTTTAGCCTGCAATGGTATTCAATGTAATCTTTCATACTGAGCTGTTTTTCACGCCGACGCCACTCTATTGTGGTACAGACAGTGGGTCGGCGAGGGTGTATGCAGCTCCAGCTACTAAAGGAGGTAAGGATAATTAAACTCATTTCTTCTTGTTATTGACTGTAATGAGTAATGAATTAATTTTGAAAAAACCACTTTGTGAATGTTGCCTTCTCCTTCTTGCGGCCTTAAATTCACTATATTGTGAATTCAGCACCGCCCTGAACGGAGCGCCGTGCCTGTCTTGCCTACATTGGCTTCTGAGATTCTGCGAGGAGCGCGGCGTTAGTCTTACCAACACGAGTAGTGGGACATATAAGAGTGATAGCCATGTAACCGTAATGCACTTGGCGAGGGGACAGGACGCCCCAGGTAAGCGTCCAACAAGTTAAGCCCCTTTATATATTTTCATGTATATTATATATTTTCATATCTATTTCAAAATATACTTTTTCATGTATCATTATGTTCATGTAACAATATCAGTCTATAATCTATCAGTCTTGCAGTGCTGTTTACTATGCACATTAAATTCTGATGTCATTAAATGCACTGTCTGTACCATACTAGCTAATGGCGTGAAAAACCGCTTAGTGTGAAAGATTACATAGAATACCAAAGCAAACTAAACTGTTGCGGCAAATCTACCGCCGCAGTTTTAGCAGTACATACGCGAGCATCAGGCGTCAAATTCTACGCCGCGTCAAAATCCGTCGTTTGTGAATAGCAGTGCACATTTTGTACGTTTGCTGAGGTTCGGCGGTAAATACCGTTAGACGTTGGCGGTAATTGCCGCCCTGTGTGAAAGGGGCCTTAATTAGTGTTCTCATCGGCAACCCAAACCAGCGCGCCAACGTCGCCAATCCCGCCGTTTCTCTATGCAAGTTTTCAATAGAGATAAAATGAATGTGACTCCAGTTATATTAATATGAACGGTTTACTTTGTCAACGATATTGAACATTTTTGTTTTTTATTTATTATTAGAATCACATGCATCGAACAAGATTCACAGATTTATACTATGATAAAATTGAAGATTGGTGAGATGAACCTCGCTTTCAAGTAGTATCCACCTCACTCGAGCTTCAGCCAGGAGCCACTGTCACAAATCTGAGCTTCTGATTGAAGGAGCAGGAGCGGCTGGTGTTATCAATTCTCCCATCAGCCTAAAGATAACCACACTCAAAAAACGCGATAAATTTCCAATACTCAACACTCATGGTTACTTGGGGAAGTCTATTCATTGGAGGATACATTACATTGCTGCGACATCGCATCATTTTCTAACATCAACTTTAAATAATCAAGATTTATATAATGAAATTTTGGTCATAATTTTGTATCTACAGCTCTCGTGTGTTTATACAACACTTCTCTTTAATTTCACTTCTTATGTTTGTCTATCTGTCTGCTACAAATCTTATAATCGAAATTTAACACACTTCTACTTATCCTATCGATCTGAAATTTTGCATACTTGCGTAAAGTTGGAGACAATGCATGAAACGAATGGCAAAATAAATGATTTAAAATTGAAAAAAAAAATTTTCAATGTTAAATAAATTGAAAAAATAATTTTGTGAGCTACAAATCTTATAACTAATATTTGACACACTTTTACCTGTCCAATTGATCTGAAATTTTGAACACTTGTGTGAAGTCGGAGACAATGCATGAATCAATTGACAGAATGAATAATTTTGAAAAAATATCGGAATAATAAATAAAATTTAAAAATTAATTTTTTTAATATTAGAAAATAAAATGAGAAATTCGTTGTACATCTGTAACATTGAAGACACTGGAATCTTTAGAAGTGTTGTCTTTAAAAAGTAATTTTTAAACGTATATTATTTTCTCACTAATCGCATGAGAACGTTCTCTTTGAATATTCAAATCGAATTTTGTTTAACATTCAAGCAGTATGAAAACTGTTCCCATTTGAAACGGAGAATGGGTTTTCATGGTATGCTGTTAGTCTATGATAAGTCTCTCGTTACGTAGAAGGCCTACAGTATATAGGCTATATTATCCTGAACTTGTATGTCACGCTGTACTTGCCTTTCCATTTTCTTCGCTAAACGCTGGAAAACGAAAGAGTAAGGTATAAAAATGTGACGTCTTTGAAATGTACGAAAAGTGTCGTTAACTGCAACTATTCTTACTCCACAATAATTTAGTGTTCGCGTCTCTTTACTAACCAACGTGATGTCGCGTCTAAGATGCGTAAATCAGCTACAAAAGTTCGAGGAGTGTTAGGTAACTAACAATATTAAACCTTGGTCTTGAACTTTATTTCCGAAATAAATATAATTTACCTATTTATATATTATTGCATTTTATCTCTGACACAAACGAATTATATGTGTTTAATTTCTCTGATAGTATAGCGTGCATAGTTATTAATTCTTAGGACTCATTTGTAGTAATAATAAGCTGGCCCTTTGACATAATTTTTTCGATAAATTTTGAACGAAGGGATCTTGCCGGCTGACTGGAAAGTTGCCGGCTGACACCATTGTTCAAAATAGGAGACTAAAGCTGCCCGGGCAACTATCGCCCTGTCAGTTTAACAAGTGTCGTTTGCAAGATAATGGAATCTGTTGTGAGGAATCGATTGATCGATCATTTGACTCTTAATAATTTATCAGACTGTCAACATGGCTTTATTGCCGGTAGATCCTGACACCATTAACCTCTTGTCTACTCTGAATGAATGGACCCGCCTGCTGGACGAAAGGGAGCCAGTATAGATGCAGTGTAACAAAAATATAACATATTGATCTCGGCGCTGAAGTGTCGGCCTGATGTGGCCTGTCGCCGATTCTTTTCCTTTTCGTGCCTTGTTCACAGAAGATCTAAAATCGTGTCATTTTACCGGATCTTTTCATGACTGACGATAGTTTGAAGTCAACGATGTCATCGGGGAGGCTGTTCCACATGTCGGTGATTTGAAGCGAGAAGAAATTTTGTCGCGTGGAGAAGTTGCGGCGTAGTTTTTTTAGTTTATAGCCGTGGCCCCTGGTGTTGGTTCTTGTTTCAAATTCTAGTAATTCTTTGAGGACCTTGTATAAACCATGAGTATACTTGTATACTTCAATGAGGTCCCCACGCAGACGTCGATAACTGAGGCTTGGAAGCTTCATAATCTTCAATCTTTCTTCATAGGACTTGCCCTTCAAGCCTGGAATTATCCTTTTTGCATGTCTTTGAACATTCTCTATTAAATTTATGTCCTTTTCAAATCTCGGTGACCACACAACGTTTCCAAAGTCTAGATTCGGGCGCACGACAGCAACAAACAACTGCTTCATCGCTTCTGCATCTAGGAACTCGTATGAGCATCTGATTAGTCCAAGAAGTTTGTTGGATGTGTTAGCTTGCGTTTCAACATGCTTAGAAAATTTCAGCTCATTGTCGACAACTCCGAGATCTTTTTCCACACTAGACTTTTCAATCATTACTCTCTCGTTGCAACCATGTCTTCTCACACTGTAATCCTGCTGTTCATTGTTCTTCCCGCGGTGAAGTACTTTACACTTGTCAGCATTAAACCGCAGCTGCCACATATCAGCCCAGTTAACTAAACTGTCAAGATCATCTTGCAATTGCGCCTTACTTGACGCATCCTTCACTGTATTATAAAATTTTGTGTCGTTGGCATACATGGAGCACACGCTGGAGACTGCTTCTGGCAAATCGTTTATAAAATCAACGAACAAAATAGGCCCAAGAACGCTTCCTTGTGGCACGCTACTGCGCACTGATGCCCAGTCTGACACGGTTCCGTTAATACTGACACGTTGTCGTCTACCTACTAGAAAATCTCTGATCCATTGGAGTACCTTTCCCTCAATTCCCTAAGACTTCACTTTACGCAACAGCCGCTCATGCGGAACACTGTCAAATGCTTTAGCAAAATTGAGGTACAATGCAGCCATTGGCTCCCTTTCGTCCAGCAGGCGAGTCCAATCGTTCATCGTAGATAATAAGTTAGTGGTGCAGGATCTACCGGCAATAAAACCATGTTGACAATCTGACATGAGATGGTGAGCAGTCAAGTGATCGATAATCCTATCCCTCACAACAGATTCCATTGGCTTACAAACAACACTTGTCAGACTGTCAGGGCGATAGTTGCCGGGGCTGCTTTTGTCACCTTTTTTGAACAATGGTGTTACTTGAGCTTCTTTCCAGTCGGACGGCTAAGTTCCTTCGTTCAAGTTTTTTTTGAAAGAATACTGTCAATGGGCCGGCCAGAACGGTTGCTATTTTTTGAGCAATCTGGGATGGAAGCAGTCTGGTCCACATGACTTGTTGGGATTTAGAGCTACCAGGCGCTTGAGAACCTCTTCTTCGTGTATTTCAAAATATGTTAACTTCGAGCCGACTGGGCGCTCCTCAATATCTGGAATACTGTTTTACTGTTCAAGTCCTCATCTGTGAACACACTGCTGAAGAACTGATTAAGAGCGTTAGCCTTGCCCTCATCAGAGGAAATCTTTCGTTGGTCTACTTTCAAACCAGAAATACCGTCCTTTGACCTACACTTCGAACTAGCGTACAAAAAGAAGGCTTTCAGATTCTTTTTTGCATTTTTAGCAATATTTTTTTCGAAGTTTTTCATTGCAGTGCGACAAACTTTTTTAGCTTGATTTCGAGATCTGGCATACAGGTTATAATCAGACTCGCTGCGAGTTAGTAAATAACGCTTGTAGGCTTCTTTCTTGGTCTTTAGCTGAGTCTTAACTGCACTGTTCATCCACTGGGACTTTTTGACTCATCCAAGCGTAATCTTGGGTACACAAGCATCAACTGCAGACATAACCGTGTCTTTGAGAAACCACCATGAATCAGCCACATTCATGTCCTCAATACAGTCCGAAATATTCGCCGCATTCGCCGTTTAACGGAGTGTATCATAGTCGCCTTTCGCAAAGTTCAAACGTTCACTCTTCCGAAGCGTCTTTTCTGCACAACACTTAAGATTGAAAAACAATGATTGGTGGTGGCTTTTGCCCAACGGAGCCTCGTGGCGAAGCTCATCTATCATTGATTCTTCACTAGTAAACACAAGATCTAGAATATTTGGGGTCTGTTTACCCCTAAAATGGGTTGGCTTGGTGATGTTCTGGATTAAAAATGAGTCTCGTATAGACTCCAAGAACAAGGATGCTGGGTGATTCCCATCTCTTGGAGAAGATTCATCTGCGCAGCCTATTTCTGGATGGTTAAAGTATCAGACTGGGCTTCAGCGCGCAGCGGCGTGCCACAAGGAAGCGTTCTCGGGCCTGTTTTATTCGTTGCGTTTATAAACGATCTGCCAGAAGCTGTGTCTAGTGTCGCAAAAATACGTCGTAAGAAGTACAGTTGCAGGGTGATCTTGACAGGTTGGTTGACTGGGCTGATAAGTGGCAACTGCGTTTTAACGTGATGTAGCGGATCTCGCTGCATGAGAATACATGGTTGCAACGACAGAGTGATGATAGAATAGAAGTGTCGGCACTGAAGAAATAGGCCCGTGGCCTGTTGTCGAAGTCGACAATGGAAAAATATTAAGGAGTTATTGTCGACAATGAGTTGAAAATTTCTAAGCAAATTGAAGCTCAAGTTAATAAAGCCAATAAACAACTTGGACTGATCAGACGCTTTTACGAGTACATAGATGCTGAAGCGATGAAACTGTTGTTTGTCGCTGTCGTGAGTCCGAACCTAGAGTTTGGAAACGCCGTGTCGTCACCAAAACTAGAAAAAGACAAAAATATAGTCGAGAGTGTTCAAAGACGTGCAACAATGATAATCCCAGGATTAAAAGCCAAGCCTTATAAAGAAAGGTTATAGATTGTGAAGCTTCCACGCCTTTGTTATAGACGTCTGCGTGGTGGCCTCATTGAAGTATACAAGTATACCCACGTTTTGTACAAGGTCCCAGAAGGATTACTAGAATTTGAAACATGAACCAACACCAGGGGCCATGGCTATAAACGAAAAAAAACTACGTTGTAACACATCCACGCGACAACATTTCTTCTCGCTTCGAGTCACCGATGCGTGGAACAGCCTCCCTGATAGCATCGTTGAAGCTCCGAGTGTGAATGCCTTCAAGAACAGACTAGACGAAGCTATGCAGGAACAAATGTTCTGTCTCGAAATGCCTAGCACCTTACGGGCTTTGCAATAAGTCCAGCAGCTATCTAAATCAATAGTAAGGAAAGATCGGGTTCAAAAGGCCGGATATCTTGTAAAATCAAGTCACGAAAAGTACAAGAATCGGCAACAGGTCATTGGCCTATTTATTCAGTGCCGACATTCCCATTCTATTCTCTATGTTTTCCAAATTTATCGGATGTTTATTATGTGATTTGCAAATTTCTTGATGATTTTGATAAATTTTCCGATGATAACTTGCTTATAATAAGTATTTGAGTCTCAATTTTTAATTTTCATGTACGGTTCCTACTTGCTTTGAAATGTTAAACTTGATTTTTTTATATAAGCGCTGATGGTATGCTCATCCTTAATAATCAATTGCATAAGATTCGCTTATCGATCAATGTTCATGATGGCAGTTTTACATAGTTTCTAGATTTATATGCACAATTCATTAAAGAAAAGATATGTAGTCCCTGTGAAATTTCTTACGTCCATGTAAAATTTCCCTCATTTCCTAAGTCTCCCAGTGGCTTACTAAGGAATTAATTAGTCCATTTCATTGCAGTTTTTTTATTTTGTTATACTTATTTACGAGTGAGTAATAATGTAGGTTTTAATGTTGATGGGCCGTTTTCATTCAGATCATCATGCGTCTTAAGAGGAACAAAGGAAATATATTGAGGATCTTCATGACTCTACTAGCGTAACAAAACTGGCTGGAGCTTTTCACCAGACTACCACTAGCAGCCCGCCAAAGTAACGCGTTTTAACTGGCAAACACTAAACCAGAGTATTCACGGCCGTTGTTCATTAGTTACTTGCATTAAATTGCAAGATGGCGGTTCAACTTTCTGCTGGTTCTATTGCAGTGAGTTATACTTACCTGTTACTCAGTAAAAAATAATTTTATTATATTCCGTTATGTTGCTATGTAATTACAATAATTCCGTTCAGAGTAGCTAGGCCTAAACTCGATCATTCGATGGTCAATTCTCAATTGGTCATACTCATATTGTCGCAAAACTTTGAGTTAAGCGCTAATTACCCTGCGCTTATTTGCTTGTTGCTACATGAAAAAAATATATATTTTATAAGTATGCCTATTAATATAGAATTATTGCAAATAATTAGTAAGTAGGTAGGTTAGGTAGCTAGGCTGATCGCTGGTGAAAGATAACTAGGAAAATTGGAATTACTAGGTACTAGGTAGGTACTTGTCTTGTTGTCAAAATTGTAAACTGAGTCAGTATGTAGTATGTGAATGCTAATTCCACTATAAATTTGAATCAATACTTTCTGTCACCAATTTGGCAACACCACAGGCCACTAACTTTGTCACCAAACTTGTGTTGCTGACATTCAAAATTAATTGCCTATTTTTTTGTCACAACTGAAGCTTAACTTTCTATTTTCTAGCACAATTGAAAAGGTTTCTTGGTTGTTATGTTGCAACTTGCAATGATCAATAAAAGCCTACATATCATAATTCTGAACAGTGTTGTTAGCCTGTTAGGGTAAATGCAGTATATTCCGACATCGTAGGTAATTCCGTCACTTCTCTAGTTTTTCCTTTATATTTAGCTTTGTTTTAGTTCCATGCATTCATTGATGGTTGAAAATGAAATGGTGACGTCATACATTTGCGTGTCAAAATACTGCAAAAACACTAGGTCTTGGGCTCTTGGCCATCTAGTCATTCTAGTGGGAAAATATTGAGATCCAAAGAGAGACAATGCATGCCACCTGGTGAGATCATCGAAAAATGTGTCAAATTTGACAGTTGACCTTGCTCTACCAAATAGTGAATAACTGTTTTTATAGGAACTAGAAGAATATTATGGTTTGAGAGTTGAGACTTTTAAATACGTCTGTGAATATATTAGGAATCCTTTAAGTAAACTTGTATTCGCTGATTTCAAGTCGTAAATAAATTAATAGAGGATTAAGTTGAGTGATGGATTTAGACCCATCAAAACTAATTCTGACACAACTTGAATTGGACACACAGATCGTTCCAAGCTTTGTACAAAAATTGAAATTTGCTTAATTAAAAGCCTAATAGTAATAGCTGTTAATTAAAACGTAATTAAGTATTGTTCAATATTCGTTAGTGTTCTAATTCAAAGCCGTGTTGTATCCCAATACAACTTGCACAGCGAACGGAATTTGAATACGTGGATGTCGGCATTATGTATCAGTTAAATTTGAAGTGCTGATGCAATGCGACTCACCACGTGTCGAATATTGCCACACACAGTGACGGAATATAGGGATTTGGTAGGTTTCCATTCTAAAGGCTTTTTAATAAATATGGCAACATTTTGTGACGTTTCATCATTGCTGACGCGTAGTGAAGTGTTTTGAGAGTCACGTGAAGGCAACAGAACTTACGTACCGTAAAATGGGGTAACTTAGACCGGCGGGGTAACATAGACCACTTTTCGTTTTTTTAACAAAAATCCCCACAACTCAAAAACTATTTGACATAGAAAAATTTTGTCAATGGGCATTAAAGGCCTAATACTGAGGCTACATAACACAATAGAAAGATTTGAAAAGTTTGCATATCTTATAGGTTAAAAAATTCAAAATGTGACCCATGAAAAAAAGCTATTATTTAAAGCCTGTCAGAGTACCTCCTCCAATTTTTTTATTTTTTGGTTAAATAACTCCAGGTTTTGATGCATCGTAGTAGAACTCTTCTAGTTACATATGCAAATGACAAATTTTAGGAAAGTGTCATAGTTTGCAAATGGGGGGCCCCCATATGGGGTAACTTAGACCACCTAATGTCAGCCCTGACGGGGTAACATAGACCGGCTTGGAAGTTAATATAAAATTACCATATACAGCAATCCCTTGGTTAACGCGGTTAATAAATCCCCGAGTTTTACCGTGTTATGCAAAACCGCGCTAATCAAACTTAAGAAGATATGGGAATAATTATAATGAATCCTCAAAAATAGCAAAGTTACATAATAATTTTTTTTACACTAAAATTCATCATATTTTTTTCTAAGTAATAGGGGAAATAAATAAAAGAAATGCGAATGAATTAACGTATTGTTTCCCGTGCGTATTGTTGACTCGGGGAAACCATAGGTCTTCACCGATCTTCGTTTTCGTTTCACCATTATCAAAACGCTTAATTATTTCAAGCTTGGTCTCCAAAGTGATATCTTTACGTTTAAGCGTTCCCTTTTTGTCCATAATTATGACGGTAATTTATCAAGGAAAATTATGCAGTTTGATAAAAATGAGCAGTAGATATAGCAGCGATCTTGACCAGTTGAAGGCTAACGTGTAACTAGAGCACCGGCATGGCGCACTTACCGGCGAACGTTGCCGAACTCGATCATTCGAGTTATGAACGAGACAAGGCGCGGTTAAACCGACTCTGTAGTCAGCACAAGTGCCTACGGAACAGGACCTTATTTAAAGAATTATTGGCTGAAATTCATAAAGTAACAACATTTGGCGAATTTTTCCAAAAGTCGTAACAAAAGTAACAACATAAGATCTAATAAGCAAAAAGTAACACTTTTGTTACGAACGTAACACCTCCGGCTAGAGGCGGGAAAATGATGCGTTGTGAAAAAAAAGTCGCGCTAATCAAAACTGGCACCGCGTAGATTAAGGGTAGGTCGCAAATTTTTTTTCCGCGTTAATCAAAACCGCGGTATTCAAAACCGTGCTAATCAAGGGATTGCTGTATAACATATTTTATGTTTGACAGCCTATTTATGTTTTTTCTTTATGTTTCAGACTCTACAGTTACCCCAAGAGCTGGGGTAACAAAGACCACCACTTTTTTTTTAAATTACATAAAGACTATGAGAGGCAGGAGCCAGCAATTTATGGTAAGTGAAGCTAGAGTATAGACCTGTATTTTGCATGTTTCAATTCAAGTTTAATTTAGCTAGTAAAAAAAAGGCATTATTTATGAAAAAAAAGTGGTCTAAGTTACCCCATTTTACGGTAACGCATACGTTTTTTTTATAGTTTTTCATTTCTCGATGCGTCCTTAATGTATCGGAATATACCGCGTTTACCCTAGGCTTTTATTGGTGAATGGCAAGATAAGTGCAGTAGGGTAAACGTGGTATATTCCGTCATCGTGGGTAATTCCGTCACCTCTCTAGTTTTTCCTTTATATTAAGCTTTGTTTTAGTTCCATGCGTTCGTTGATGGTTGAAATGGTGACGTCATACATTTGCGCATCGAACTAATGCCAAAACACTAGGTCTTGGCCATCTAGCGGGAAAATATTGAGATCCAAAGAGAGACAATGCACGCTACCAGTGAGATCATCGAAAAATGTGTCAAATTTGACAGTTGACCTTGCTCTACCAAATAGTGAATACCTGTTTTTATAGGAAGAATATTATGGTTTGAGACTTTTAAATACGTCTGTGAATATATTAGGAATCCTTTAAGTATACTTGTATTTGCTGATTTCAAGTGGTAAATAAATTAATAGATGATTAAGTTGAGGAATGGATTTAGACACATGAAAACTAATTCCGTCACAACTTGAATTGGACACACTCAGATTGTTCCAAGCTATGTACAAAAATTAAAATTTGCTTAATTAAAAGCTTAATAGTTGTTAATTAAAAGCGTAATTAAGTAGTGTTCAATATTCATTAGTGTTCTAATTCAAAGCCGTGTTGAATTCCAATACAGCTCACACAGCGAACGGAATTTGAACACGTGGATGACGGCATTACGTATCAGTAGAATTTGAAGCGCGGACGCAATACGCCTCACCACGTGCCAAATATTGCCACAGACAGTGACAGAATATAGGGATTTGGTAGGTTTGCATTCTAAAGGCTTTTACATAAATATAGTAACATTTTGTGACGTTTCATTGTTGCCGGCGCGTACTACGGTGTTTTGAGAGTCACCTAAAGCAAACAGAACTTGAGTAACGCATACGTTTTTTTTATAGTTTTTCATTTCTCGATGCGTCCTTAATGTGATGGAATATACCGCGTTTACCCTAGCTCCTGTGTCCAAGCATGGAAAAATTCTAGCATTAGGGCCACGACTGGAGCTTTCCCACCGTAATCCCGCGGCCCTGCCATTTCTGGAATCTGTGAGATTTCCACCAGATGAATTACCTATCTAATTGTTAACAAAAGTGCACGATTGGGCCACAAGCCCGCAACCACAACATTCCTAATGTATTAAAAATTTGTCAAGTTGGAGCTGCAAGATTTCACAAACAAGTAGGAAAATTCCAATCCTGCAGCTGTGTCCATAGTAGCAAATGAGAATATTTTTTATTGCCCTTCAACTAGTTCATTTTTTAATCCTATAACTAAAGTATAAGTAGAGCAGGGAGGATTTTAAATACCTGCTTTATCATACCAGATACCTAAAATTATTTAAATATTGAGTAGATGAGAAAATAAAAAATTAACTGATTTGAAAAAATCTCTGGATTGCCACTATGCCCCATAACCTGACTGGCCAGTGGCCACTTGTATGTCAATGTGTCATTGATGGTATCATGGTAGTAACATTTATACAGGGTTCAAATTTTTACTGGGTAATTTAGTAGGTAATTAAACTTGAGCATTTGAAGTTATGGTTTAATTAATTCAATTTTCATGCTTTCAATCAAGATTAAATTTTTAATTATTATGTTAGAAGAGATTGGGAAATAAAAATATTGTAATAATTTAGAATAGAATTTATAAAATATAGAGAAATGTAGAAAATCAAGTTCCACCTCTTTGATCCAATATGCTGTTTTGATTTTGCACAACTTGCCTAATAACATTCATAAGGATTAGAATTGTTAAAATTGAAGAAATTTATGATCATAAAAATGTACAAGAATGTAAATGATGTAGGTATTGAATTCCAAAGTGGAGAATTGGGCAGAAGCCACCCATGAATTAGCAAAAAAGCCCATGAATCTGGCCATTTTCACCCATTCCTTAAGCCTTTTCTCAATTTCTTCAGTTAAAAATAATAATACACAATTTTGCCCACAATATTTAATAACTACTTGTGAAACTATCATTTATGTCCCCCAATTTTAGGAAACTTTTGCCTAATATAGTAATATTCCTAATTGGATTGAATTTGCATTATTTATGATTATTTTGTTTGACAAAAATAATCTTATCATTTTTTATGATTTATGAAAATTTGCTACTGCTTTCGTATATATTGTATAATATTTCCCCTCTTCAATGTCAATCCAATTGAATTCCTGTTTTATATAATTCCTATGTATGTATTTTTTTTATTTCAGGCTATCAATAATGGAGAGAAGCCCGAGGATGTCATTCTCCAAGTTATAGTAAGATAGCAACAAAGTAATTTGGACAATTAATGGATGAATTATCTATGAATCTTACCTCATTATAGTTGAATTTGCATGCATTATACATTCTCATTTAATAAACTCTGTATTAATCATTATTAAAAATCTGAATTAAGATTTTTCAAAAGACCAATATCATCTTTTTAATAGTTGTGCTTAATTTATTATAGAATTATTATTCTCTTAATAACTCATGATTTTTATACACTCCCTATGCTAGAAGCTGCTTACATTATGCATTAAAAAACTAAGGTACCTACTTATGGTGGCTCCAGGATTGTATAAAAATGTGGTTCTAATTTTTCCTTAATTCAAGATATCTTCTCATTTATTTATAATTATGCCGCTAATTTTCCTAAATATCATTGAGGCATTTTTTTAGAGTCAAAGTTGTGAATGTAAATTTTGTTATTTTTTCCTACTCACTGCAGGAATTAAGGATAACTACCCTCAGATGTTTAGCACATTATAATATATAATATTTTTATATATGTGCTTGTAACACTTCATATTTAGTTGAAAATGTTAACCATGAAGTTATTTATTCATTTTTTTTTTTGTATTTTAACAAATGCAATGTGGCCTTTTTTTGTAGTGCCTGCCTAATTTCCAATTTAGTTTTACCAAAGATCTTATGTGATATGTAATTTCAGGCAGTGCGCAAGTTTCCTACAGGAGACCGGTGCCGCCTGCTTGTCTCTGATGGAGTTCACCGATGTGGATTTGCAATCATGGCCACCCAACTCAATCCTATGATCAACAGTGGTGAAGTTGCTCAACATGCTGTTATCAAGGTCACCAAATATTTTTGCAACCAAGTATCAGAAAAAAAGAAGGTATGTGGCTGTAATATTATTAAATTTAGACATTCCTTATCCGTGGAACTATCATAGTCTAGTGTCTACTAGTTTATTGACATAATTATTTGGCCCCTCTGATGTCTATCATATTATATTAATTTTGATCATTGGATCAAATTGTGACAATGATCTGATGTGCATCTGATTTATATTGAGCTTTTCCTCTTTTTCAACAGAGAGTGAATATCACATGTGAATGACATAAAGTGATTCATTTTGTGTGTATTATTAGTGATCAAATATTTTTGCACTCTAAACTGAATTAAATCAATGACAAATTAAAAGTTATTTTAGTACAAGTCAGGGAAGTGGTTGGTCACTACTCACTAACCATTTGTGCCAGGTATTTCATATGGGCTCATGCCTGTGCAGATGATGATCATCCTGGGTCTGGAAGTCCTCCTAACAGCTGAAGATGTTGGAGGTGAAATAGGGAACCCTACAACATATGAAAGCGGAACATCAAATGCTCCTGCAGGTGCTCCTGCCGCAGCTTCCAATCATTCCATCACCCGACCCTCTCCTGTAGCTAATGGTGTGTGCCCCACTGATGTGTATGCGTATCATTTTGAAATTTAATGGTGTGAATAATCTATAGCTATTCAGTTTATAATGCTGAAGTGTATGTATTGTATTTTGAGACATTCCCTGCATTTACTAGGAGTGTTTCTAGCAACAGGCTTATACCTAGAATAGAACCATGCATCTCAGTCCCTGATTTGAAAATTGAATTGCAATTATTAGCTGTAAAAATTTCATTTCTATTTCAGTTTCAATTGCAAACATACGTTCTGTTTGACATTGCAGTGTTCAGTGACATGTTGTAGAAGAATGAAACCTTAAGCAATCCTAGCTTGGTTCAAACTGATGTCTTGAAATGAGATTAAATGCCTAAAGGCTTACCTAACACCATCTATGTTAGAGTATGACAAAAAATAATAGATGCAATATCATATCGCACATTTATGGTTTATGGTGCATTTTATTTTTAGTTCAGGAATTCATGTTGAATGGAACTAACATTACGTAATACCAGTGGTAGACTATCACTTCTGGGACTATCACTTCTGGTAAAACATTGAGAGTGAGACCATGTTTGAAGTCGGACCCACGAATTTCTGATCATCGTTATAATATGGAGTTAATCAATATACCTATATAGATTAAGGAGTTCTTTATTACAATGTTCAACAATAATTATTACAAATCCTTTTCACTGCATTTGGATTTGTCAAGTTTCATTGAGAAGTCGAGTAGCTTAGTAGCGTCGTGAGAATTATTTGCTGGAGATCTTGGTTATTGACACTTTTTTTAGGCCGGGCTCCTTTAGTGCAGCGCAGTGCACCTGGAAATGCACCCGCTGCAGATGGAGGAGGTATGATGCCTCAGGCTCCTGATGGCTTCCCTAACGTTCGCCCCATACAAACACTTACACCTTATCAGAACAAGTGAGTTATCTGTTGGAAGACTTATTGTTTCTATGCTCATTTAAAGTCAACTCGACCAGAAGAAAACACAATAAGTCTCATTAATGATGTTCTTGTATGTATATATTTTTGGAATGAACATTTAATCATTATTTTTTGACCATAGGTCTGCAGCACAATTTTTTTCATCTCTTGCATTCTATTAATTTATTTCATGGCCATTGACAATGAACTTATATTTCTGATTTTATGCAAAATATTTGAATAGTTTTATAAGTTTTTCTCAACAACTGTTGATTTTGCTGCAGTTTCTATCAGATTTCATCCAGATATCCGATTGTTTTTAACCGCATTACACTAATTTTCAGATGGTCAATTTGTGCTCGGGTCACCCAGAAGTCAAACATTCGTACCTGGAGCAACTCGCGCGGTGAAGGGAAGCTTTTCTCCATGGAACTTCTTGACCAGTCAGGTGAAATCCGAGCCACTGCCTTCAATGCCGAGTGTGATAAATTCTACGATATGATTGAGGTGAGACTCGTCAGCAATTGTGGCCGTGATTATTTTCTACAACTAACTAATATAAGCAAATATAATAATATTTGCATGTAATAATTTGTTGCAAATATAATAATATTTGCAACAACTAACTAATAAGCAGGGAAATTTTATCTAATGATGAGTATCTTCTTGCTAAATGGACAAATAAGAACAATTGTAGCTGAAATGTGCTAAATTCGTGTTGGGTCTTATTTTATATTTTAATAGTTCATCAGGGTGATTTGGTGATTGATAATAAATATCTCACTTGCACTGAAAAGGGTACCATTAATTGATTTTGTTATTTAGGTAGATTATATGCTACTTAAGTTCCGATCTTGATTGGTAGGTATTCTTTTTTATTCAGCCCAACAAGGTGTACTACATCTGTTCGGCGACACTCAAAACTGCCAACAAACAATTCACTTCTGTTAAAAACGATTATGAAATGACCTTCAATTCTGGAACGCAGGTAAGACGTAATTTGTATTGCATTTTTTTAAGGAAAAGCATGCTGCTGTTCCTCATTAAATGGTTTTCTTCGTTGTCAGAAATACTTCGAACCTGTAGCCAGAATTTTTGTCTAAATTGGGTTCCAGTTTCCTTATTTTCTCCTCTTGTATATAATTTGTGTGGTTGGTTGACAAATTGATGTTGAAGTTTTTTTGCACTAAAACAAATCTAAACTTGATGTGAACAGAGAGTTTAATTTTAATGAAAATGAAGGGAAGAAGGTTATTGGCTGTTATATATTATATATACATGTTTTACTTATATCTGCCATACCCTCATTTTAAATCACTGCTAGAGTTTATGGTTCTGTTTAATCTAGAGTTGTTTATTTAAGTTCCAATCATGAACTTAATACTTGGTCTTCTTCTATAAAATAAAAATATATGATGTTATTTCTATTTTCCAACTCTGCTTTGTCAGGTGGTCCGCTGCACCGAGGAGAAATCTATTCCTGCCATGCAGTTTGATTTTGTCACCATCGACCAGTTGGAAAACGCCCAGAAAGACACGATTGTTGGTATGTTTTTTATTTTTTGTTGAACTTCTATGATGTTATTTCAATTGTTACATTCTTTATCGTTAGCTTGAAGGTGAGTATTTTTGCTTACAGAATAAAATGCCTTTCCAGACTGCTTCAGGATAGTGAAAAATAAGTTCTTGCAGGTTTCTAATTACTACTACTTGAAAAAATTATTAATTGAATCTGTTAAATGAAGGAAAATTAAAATGAATGTCTCATTGACCTAAATTTGTAAATTTATATCAAACGAAATCAAATCCATAGAATCAAATGAATGGAAAATAAAGGCCCGTAAAAAAGCCATTGAGCATCTAATATATATAAAATAGCATCTGATAATTAATGTCCTGACTGTTTGAAGACATAATTACTCCATCATTAACTTGAATTTTAGAATAAATATTCAATATTCAGTAAAATTAGGAGTAGCATCAAAATGAAAAATAGAGCCACACAAAAAGGCATGCAGTCAAGAGTTTAATTTAATTACAGATCTGATCGGTTTGTGCCGCGATGCGTCAGAGGTGGCCACTATTGTCCAGCGCTCGACGGGCAAGGAGCTGCGAAAAAGAGAAATTTCTATTGTCGACCACACCAATCGAGCTGTTAGTGACCTTACCCTTAAATTTCTATTGTCGACCACACCAATCGAGCTGTTAGTGACCTTANGACCTTAACCTTATATTTCTATTGTTGGCCACTCCAATCGAGCTGTTAGTGACATTAACCTTATATTGCTTTTGTCGACCACACCAATCGAGCTGTTAGTGACCTTAACCTTAATCATGCAAGAAATCTTAACAACGCTATTATTTTGTAAAAGGAATAAGGAAAAAAATTCTGATGAAGCATATATAAATTTTCTTCACAAATAACCGGTATTTGTATATGTTGCTGTATATGTATATAATATATGTATAAACAAGCACGTTAATCATTAGGTTTTATTTCAGTTAATAACATATATGAAGAGGATGACGTTAACAAGTTTCAAAATTTTCTTGGTTTGTCTATCATTCTGATGTAATGCCTTAATGAGTCGCTTTGATAAGTTGATTTATTTACAATCTGATAGTTTATTTTGTTGTTTTAAAAGGAGACCAAATAAATCTGATTTATCGGTGTGTGTGCTCAGGTATCGCTGACCCTGTGGGCCGAGCAAGCGGAGAAATTTGACGGTACTGGCAATCCCGTGATCGCGGTCAAAGGAGCTAAAGTATCAGATTTCGGTGGTGTTTCTCTTTCTCTTCTCGGCTCTTCAACACTTCAGGTAAATTTTGTTGTTCATGTTTTCGGGATTTGTCCAGAAATTCCTGTAAATTCGAAGTGTAATTTCACTTTCAAGTTTCCCTTTTCTGTTCACGCTTGCAGGAAAAATTCTCGGAATAGGTTTTCTGTTATAATGATACATAGAGATACGAATTATGATGCGAGTACGTTTGATACAAAATTTCGAGTAAATAAATTAATTGACGTTGATAACACAAAACGCCTAAAATTTGCTACTCGACAGAAATGAAAATGTTACCTTGCGTTTTACTAGTTCATTTTGTTCATTTCACAGGTTAACCCCGACATCAGCGAGGCCCATCAACTGAAAGGCTGGTGGGAACAAGCTGGTTGCAACTCATCAGACATCATCAACCTGTCCAACCAGCGTGGAGGTGCTGGTAATGGTGAGTCTGTAGTGATTGAATAAAATTTATGTGGGCCTGTAATTCTATGTGTCCAGTAATCTTAATGATAATGATACGTCTTTTGTAACTCTCAATTCTATAGGATGCTTTGCGATGATTATGAATGCTATCAGTAAATTTTTATATTGAATGATTTATGGAAATCAGGTGTCAGGAAATAGTTGGGAGCTTTTATTGAAATGCTGTTAATAAATTATTGAGCTCTTCTTATCTTAGCCGTCACTCCAGAATCCATACTATTGAGAATAGTTACAAGTTTGTAACTCCGTCAGCTGATCACCGTTGGATTTTCAAGCTAAACCCATCAATCAGAGACAAGAAATCTGTCACTACGTGTACTTAGGCTGCTCTGTGTACTTGTACTGGTGCATATACTTAGATCATTACTTGTGTTTAGGCCTCTACATGTACTTAAGTTGCTATCTGTATTGAGGCCGCTACATGTAATTTGGCCTCAATGTGTATCTAGCTCGCTATGTGTACTTATGGTTACTACAGCTACTATTTAGGTCTCAGGTCGCTACGTGTAATTTCGGCCGCTACGGGTACTTAGATCGATACATGGATTTTAGCCGTCAACTATACCTACTTCTGCGGGTTTCTGTAGTACGACCCTTAATATTTGCATGTTCAGCTGTGGGTGCAAATGCCGTCTTCAAAACCCTGCTGGAAGCCAAGAAGGAAGGTCTGGGCAGCCGCGACCAGCCTGATTACTACAACGCTAAGGCCATCGTGACGCTCGTACGCAAGGAGAACATCCTCTACCAGGCCTGCCCCAACGATGGCTGCAATAAGAAAGTCATGGACCTCAACAACGGAATGTACAGGTGCGCCGTCAGTTCCTGGTACAACTTTATATTTTTTAACTGCGATAACACTTGAAAAATGTAGCCTACAATTACTCAAATGTTCACACTTTCCATCTATGACTGTATTTGAAATCGAACTTAACCCTTTAGCGGGCAAGCTACTATGTGTGATCACTTAAAATCTTCCAATAAAGCTCAACTTGTCCTCTGGTTTATGTTTAACTTTAGGGCTACGTTATCACGCCTCTGACAATCTCCAATCTTCTGCCTATCAATCTATGAATAACTTCACCCCTCAGCCATGGAAGGAACTAAAATATGGTCATTTAAATAAAACTTCTGACTCGGACAAAGAAATTAACGCTCTTTTTTGCATTTTTTTAAAAGACGGAAGAAGCAATATTGATTTAAGTAATTTAAAGTAACTGAAGAAAATAAAATCAAATTGCAGCTTGATACTTTCTTTTTGCATTTGATTTGATAATTGGAAAAATTTCAATTTCAACTTGCGTAATGACCGCGTTTTACACCAATTTTAATCTGCAATTCATTCCAATATCATGCAAAATTTCTAAAAAATGCATTCGAGCAAATTTATAACTGTCCACACTTTCTCGTAGTGGCTTCAGATATTCAAATTTCTGCACATTTCTGTGTTTGCCTGCCTAATTATTAAAGAATTTAGCCTACTTTTGCTTCTGAGAAACATTCATATTTTGTAGCTATGATGGAAACATAAGTTTTCTGTGCCGTGTCAAGAGGAAAGATGTCAATGCTTACACAACATTTCAATGGGACCTCTATTTTTTGCTTTATTATAGCGCAAAAATTCAAAAGATGTACGTAACTCTTCAAATTGTGTACTTTAATTTTTTGCAAGTTGGTAAAACGTATTGAACGGAAATAGTTCATAATTTCAACGAATATCACGCATCTGTATTTATCTTTCTTTTAATTTATGGATACTCAATAATGATATGACTTTTTCTTTTAATCATATGAATGAAAAATTTAAATTACAAACAAAACTTGATGATTTGAACACATGTAACAAATTTGAGATTAAGAAGCGCATATTTACTGTAAATACTCGCATGAGTCCTCCTGAGAAATGCGTGTATGTTTTAGTTTATGTTGCTAATGTTCTTATCCTTTTTAATTGGACCTGCTTGTATTATTGAAAGCTGTAAGTGTGTAGTTTCATCATTACTAGTACGTTTTCAGGTGCGAAAAATGCTGCAAAGAGTTGGACAGATTCAACTGGCGACTCATGCTCTCCTGCAACGTGGCAGACTTCACTGAGAACCATTGGGTGACAGTTTTCCAGGTAGGTCTAGAACTGCTTAGATATGTGAAGATAAACTATTAGTTAGTGTGAATAATTATATCCCTTCACTTTCTCATGAAATAATTACATCCTTTCACTTTCTTTTTGAATAATTACATCCCTCCACTTTTTTATGAAATCTAGCGAAAAATTAACCATCGCGGTTCTGAAATGGCAAAGTGAAACTTCAAATTCTATCCTTGATCATGATAGTTTGAATTTAGAGGGAACGTATAAACATATTTAGGCTCAATTGCTTAAATGTAAGAGCGTACGAGTTTGTCATATTTACGTTATTCTTTTGAAAATTTTTGAATTTAATGGTAAATATTAAATAATAAATTACTTTATTCTGCACCGTGTAGAAACCTAAATATATGTCTATCGTTCTTAATTTCCAAAGGAACAGTTATTATGATGATTATGCCTATATTCCGATGTATTTAGTACCGTTATTATGATTCGTCTGTTCATCAGGACCAAGCAGAGTTGATGCTGGGCTCAACAGCTCAGGAACTCGGAACTCTCAGAGATGAGAACCCAGACATGTTTCAGAGCATCATCGCTGGAGCCTCCTTTAAAGAGTACAACTTCAGGCTGCGAGTCAAGATGGAGACTTACAATGTAAGGATATGCTTCAGAATTTCGTGGTTCTGGTTCCTTGGATTTATTTTGTTATGTTACGTAAAATTAATGTGTATATTCATCAGGCACTTAATCAAGTTTGGCACTTAATAAATTTTCATTTAAATACCTAACACCTCGCTAAAGGTAAGAAACTGAATGAATCCATTGTCTAAAAGAAACTTCGTTAAAAGGGTATTGAACTGATGATTTGATTATATAAGCAAATATTTTCAAATTACCTAGCGAATCTTATACGGATCATTTTTTATCTTTATTCACTAATAATATTCTTCGATTGAAAATAAGAGCTTAATCTAAATTGATCGAATCATTCGACTATATACAATGACCAGATCGAAGAAATTTTCAGTGTTCACTTTCATTCACTTTTTTCAGGATGAAAGCCGCCTCAAGACTATGGTAATGTCCGCCGCACCCGTGAACCCAGTGGATCTTAATCGGCGACTCATTAAGGAAATCAGGGAACTATCTGCATAGAAATAAAATTCTGGAGGTTCCTGCATTGAAATATTATTTCCTGCGGCAGATAAATAATCGCTCCTCCTGGGAGCCAGAGGGAAGACCACATCAATGTTTGATCAAATCCTGGGATTACAACTTCACGATTCAGAGTGCTTCAGAGAAATGTTCCGATTAAAATATCATTCATGTTCGCAATATATCATTTGTCGTTGTGCGTCATTGTCGAAGAATCTTCGTAGCCTTATCGTAAATTTCTAATTCTGTTCGCACCATCCACTGACAACGCTTGATTTATTACCAAAAAATTTCTATTTTCATCATATGCGTAGAGGTTATATATTATAAGAATTCATATATAATACACAGTTGAAATTTCTAACTCTCTTGAGCCATAAACGTATTACATATTCTCATTTATTTTGTAATTCTGTCTTATTGTGCGCTGTTTACTTTCCACAATTTTCTGAGCTCATAGTTGTGATGAATTTTGGTTTGTCTTTTGTGTTAAGTTCTATTTGATCGAGATTCCTTGATTATAAACCAAAAACAAGTCTATAATCTTTGTTGCTTTTGGCCCTCTGTTGATTGAAAAATAGAGTGCAACGTACACGACAGTGCATTTACTGAGCGCTGCACTATTTGTATTATTTATTCTGTTCTTCTGAGCGCTGAGCACTGAGATTTAAAAGCGCTAAAATTAAAGAAAATTTGTTATTCCTGTGCTTATATTTCATCACGGAATAGTTCGTGTCTGATGATTTACTGCATCATTTATTTCTGGTAATTTCCATTTTCTATCTTAAGGAAATGTATGAATTGCAGAATTGTAATGCATTCTCATCGAATAAAGTCACGAATGCTGTTTTCTTTGCAAAATGAAACTGTTCGACATTTTACGTTTTCGTGTCGTTCTATGATGATTTTCGTAGATTTTTGTTTTCTTGATGCGAATAATAAATTCTTATCGATTCATGGAATTTTAAGTGTCCTTTAAACTAGAATTTAGTGATATTAAATAATGGATATTCTTCTCCCCTTGAAAGTTTTGGCACTGAATGGAGGTCGGGCTATTGGCTTTTCAACGCTACCCCATTTGAAGAAGAGTTCATCTCACGCTGTCATACAACTTCAATAAATTGAAATATACCCGGGGTCTCCAGGTGAAATTTAAGAAAGAGAAAACAGCGTTAAAAACAAAACACTGGTTCTTAAAATTTTTCCTAATAAAAAAATAACTTCCTTCCGAAGTTAAACTTTACCGAAAACCCATTAATCTCTCTCAACCTGATCCTAATTTCCTCGCTATTCAAATGGGAGAATTTGATTGCATTTATTTAAGAACATGCGTAGAAATACAGTTACGTATGCCGACATATGTGCTGACGTGTAGTCTCGTAAATATCCTGAACTTATTTCTGTACGCGAAAAATTAACATTACGTACAGCCACGTATAAACCTAAAATGGTATTTACAGAACGCTGATGTATCATTTTCACAGACTCGAGACGGTTCAGTGAAATATTTGCTCAATTCTCTGATTTGCCAGTTCTTTTATTTTCGAACTTGCAATCTCTGATAGCTTTGATGGCTATCAAGCAGCGGGCGGTTTGAAGGCATCCGATGATTATCCAGCCGGAATTAATATGTTAATTCCAGCGGCTAAAAATTTATTTATTTGTGACTATTATGTGTGACTTTGATAAGGTTGACTTACAAGTGGCGGCTGATATCTAAAGTTATTCCTGGATACTGCACTCTACGAACGCGTTACCCTGCCAAACAGCGGTCACATGCTGCGCTGTTACAACACTTTTAAAATCGAGGGAATTGAAGATGATAGGGGTCGCCTGCCGAAGACCACCATTGCCCTGGATGTAATATGGACGGGTACGCAGCCGTGCACCACCAAATTTGTGCACCAATCGTATTGGCAGACGACGCTGGGCCGTACGACGTCAGGCTTATTTTTCTGTGGGCTGATTGGTCTAATTCAATGGATGTGATCTGTCTGGTGGCGTGCGGCTGATAATGTTACAGTAAAGAAGTGTTGTAGGCTACGTTCTTCAGGGAAGGGATCATGATAGTCCATTCGAAGCAAGGCAGTGGTGGTCTCCGACAGGCGTCCCTAATGGACCATCATGATTCCTGCCTTCCGGAACGTAGCCTTCAACACTTCAGTTCAAGCCGTCCGTATCTAGGCCGTGGGTCGAACCAGCCCTCACCCGAACGGCAACTTGTCGAAGGACGATAAATTTTGGAACAGAACTATGCTATCTGAAACCTAACCTCAGATGCGGTGAACGTAAAATTACGTAATTTAACGATGCCCGGAAGTCAGATTCGATCCGCGGCCTAGTGGTGCACGGCAGGTTCTATGCGAGGCCGGAGGAAGACAAAGCCGAGTGGTTCACGGCTGATTGGTGGATGTCCGGAGAGATCCAAGGCGTTCGATGCAGGGCTTATAGGTGTACAAAATTGGTGGTGCACGGCTGCGCTCCCTGGAACTGCGTGCATCCTGCCGTGCACCACCAGATCGTCACTTTTAGTTCAACATCCGGGGTTGGGTTTCAGAAAGCATAGTTCTGTTCCAAAATCAATCGTCCGCCGGCGAGTGACTTCCGCAGCTTCGCTAAATTACGTAACTTTTAGCTCACAGCATCTAGGGTTAGGTTTCAGATAGCATAGTTCTGTTCCAAAATTTATCGTCGTACGACGCGTGGCCGTTCGACCGTGGGCTGATTCGACACACGGGACAGATACGGACGGCTCCGGCGCGCTCCGTCCGGGTGGTGTAAAAATTTTTCGCGTGTTGGCAGACGACGCTGGGCCATACGACGTCAGGCTATTTTACTTGTGGGCTGATTGATCTAATTCAATGGATGTGATCTGTCTAGTGGCGTGCGGCTGATAATGTTACAGTCAAGAAGTGTTGTAGGCTACGTTCTTTAGGGAAGGGATCATGATAGTCCATTCGAAGCACGGCAGTGGTGGTCTCCGACAGGCGTCCCCCACTGGCGACCTGGGCTGGTTGGTCGCAGTCCGTTGTCCGCAAGTTACAGTTCAAGCTAAAGTCAGAGTATGAAGTGATGATTCGATGCAACGTTCAGTGGTGCATAACCATTACTCTCTGGGCTATTCGCTTCAGAATGTGGTGGCGTAAAGCTCCTAATATTTAAAGCAAGATGATGTCACGGGCTGATTACCGACGGATGGCTTAATCCGCGGCTGATTGGTGGTCATCCGGAAATATGCTAGGCGTTCCTTTCAAGGCTGATTGGTGCACAAATTTAGTGATGCACGGCTGCGTACTCCTTTTCGTGGCTTGTTCACAGAAGATCTAAAATCGTGTTGTTTGACCGGATCTTTTGAAGACTGGCGATAGTTTGAAATAGCTACTAGACTTCCACCGGGTTCGATATGGTGCTAGACATTTTAAGTCTGAGCATGTATTTTTCCATAGCTTTATCTAGTCTGTTCTTGAACGCGTTCATACTCTTAGCGCCAATGATGTCATCCGGGAGGCTGTTCCACATGTCGGTGATTCGAAGCGAGAAGAAATGTTGTCGCGTGAAGTTGCAGCGCAGTTTATTTTAGTTTGTAGCCGTGGCAAGTCGATAACTGAGGCTTAGAAGCTTCATAATCTTTAATATTTTTTCGTAAGAATTGCCCTTCAAGCCTGGAATTATCCTTGTTGTACGGAATACGGATAATATCCTTGTACGGATAATTTGATCATAAGCCACCTTATGATCAAAATCAATGAATTTCAACAAGACTCTAAATGTAAATATTTTCAAGTCAAACAGAATAATAAAAAAGTTTATTGCCACAAATAATTTCAATTATTGGACGGCTGCTTTCAAAGCGATTTTCCCGATCCCGAGAAATTTGTAAATTTTGCAAGCTGGGATCGCTTAACGTCAATGACTCAGCAGCTATCTCAATCAATCGTCAGTTATGGAAAGATCGGGTTCCAAAGGCCGGATCCCTTGTGAATCAAGTCACGAAAAGTTCAAGAATCGGCAACAGGCCATGGGCCTATGTCTTCAACGCCGACACTTCTATTCTATTCTATAAACCGCAATATCTCTTTTAAAGAGGTAGGCCAAAAAATATTTTCTGATCGTGTGGAAGAAAGAAAATTGATCCACAGGAAGTGTAATCGTGGGTGTGCTAAAATAAAAGCTTGTGGTGCAGCTGTATATAAATATTTAAGTTTCTAAATTCTAATATAGTTCATAGCTGAAGCTACTATACTCACTACTAGCTGAAGCTACTATGCTACATAGCTACTCATCCCAATAGGAATCATTGAACTTTTTAATTACCAATTATTTCAAACTGCGTGCAGATATTTACGAGATCTGCTGCTTGGCTATAACATAACATAGTGATGTCGGCGCTGAAGTGTAGGCCTGATGTGGCCTGTCGCCGATTCTTTTCATTTTCGTGCCTTGTTCATAGAAGATCTAAAATCGTGTCATTTGACCGGATCTTTTCATGACTGACGATAGTTTGAAATAGTTACTAGACTTCCACCGGGTTCGTCATTCCAAAATCTCGTCGTTCCCGCAATTCATAATTCAAAATCATAATAATAAGAGCATATGAATGATAATGAAATAAAGACCCTTAGAAAATTAACATTTTACAGAGAAGATAACACTCCACTTTTATTCTCGTTTCAAAATATGGAAAAACAATTTTGCGTCCTTCAAATTAAGAGTATTTAACAAATTTACCATTAAATGTCCTTTTTTATCCGTTATGATTCTCCAATCCTTTCCTATTATTCCAATAAGAATGGAATTACAGGTCCAGGTGATATCCCAATACGATAAAGATAAATGTCGCGGATAAGCGCCCCAACAGCCTCTATATATTTGTGGAGCCTGACTTACAACACACTTTCAAATCATGGGTGTTTCATATATAACAGCGGTGTTACAAACTCCCAGAGACCTACAATCTTTGGTAACTTTTTAAGATAAGTATCGCGATAAAAATGTAAGATATGCGTCGTGATAAATACGTAAGATATGAATCGTACTATATTTTCCATTTTCGCTTCGCAAATTCACCTCCGAGGAGCGCACCTCCGACATGCTACCTAATACTCGTATTAAGACCACTGAGTGCTATATCTTAATGATGCGTAAAGATTAAATAACAAAACAAGGAAAAAAATAATTATTTTTGAAGTTGCAGTTGAAACGCAGCGGCTAAAAGGCTCTGAAAGGCTTGAAATTGTCCGCGTATCTTATTTCAAATGTTATCAATGATAGGATTTGTTTGTTCAGCCAGATCCTAAAGTTTTAATTCTATTAGTATCATCCACTGACAACGCTCGATTTATTACCGGATAACCTATGTGATCATACTTATTAAGGAAAATTTAATTTTCATCTTGTTCATATGCGTAAAGTTTATTAGAAGAATTTATATATAATATACATTTGAAACTGTTACTGAATATATGTGGTTAAATTCTGTGCTTCAATATAAGGTAAACTGTAGGTTTCTTTGAATTTGGGGCCTTATAATGTTGTTAATATTTGTAGATTTCAGTTTTTGTTCAATCAGTACCTGTTCTATCAATAATTTCATCGCAAAGAGAAGCGCTATTAAATTCATTATATTTTAGCAAAAATTTATCAACGACTGGCTCAGTCATCAATTGAATTAGGAACTTTGGTCTGAGTAATAGAGACAGCAAAATTCACGTAGTTGATTTAAATATAACTTTTGAAATCAAAGGACAAAATAAATGGAATTGGAAGAGGAGAAAAGACTGAGTAACTTATCAATCGAGAATTTGAAGCGGACACGCGATGAAGGTGTTTATCACGATATAGCCCGTTCATAAAAAATAATAATTATGAAAAAGGCTTGACGCGATACACGAAGGATGAAGCTAATATACTTCAAAATATGTATCGGTTACGGCCCGGGTTGATTCCTTTCATATTTG